CCTTCTTTACTAATCATTGATATTATGTTGATAGTCCTAAATATAAAGCTTTATTACAACTGTTACATAAACTTAACATTAACCAAGTAAACTAAACATTGACCAATGAACCATGAAAATGTGGTCAAGGTCAGATGAACCATGCTAGGCAGGCATGTACAGCTAACAATTCTTCCATACAACAAATATAGTTGGCCTATTGCTTATAGTTTAAGAAAAATAGACCAAAACACAAAAACTTAACACTGAGCAATGAACCTTGAAAATGAGGTCAAGGTAAAAAAAAACCTGCGTGAGTGACAAATAGATCATAAAATATTTCCATACACCAAATATAGTTGAACTATTGCATATAGTATTACAAAAATGACCAAAACTCAAAAACTTAACTTTGACCACTGAACCATGAAAATGAGGTCAAGGTCAGATGACACCTGCCAGCTAGACATGTACACCTTACAATCATTCCATACACCAAATATAGTAGACCTATTGCATACAGTATAAGAAAAACAGACCAAAACACAAAAACTAAACTATAACCACTGAACCATGAAAATGACGTCAAGGTCAGAAGACACCTGCCAGTTGGACATGTACACCTTACATTCCTTCCATACACCGAATATACTAGACCTATTGCTTATAGTATCTGAGATATGGACTTGACCACCAAAACCTAACCTTGTTCACTGATCCATGAAATGAGGTCGAGGTCAAGTGAAAACTGTCTGACGGGCATGAGGACCTTGCAAGGAACGCACATACCAAATATAGTTATCCTTTTACTTATAATAAGAGAGAATTTAACATTACAAAACATCTTAACTTTTTTTCAAGTAGTCACTGAACCATGAAAATGAGGTCAAGGACATTAGACATGTAACTGACGGAAACTTCGTAACATGATGCATCCATATACAAAGTATGAAGCATCCAGACCTTCCACCTTCTAAAATATAAAGCTTTTAAGAAAATAGCTAACGCCGCCGCCGCCGCCGCCGGATCACAATCCCTATGTCGAGCTTTCTGCGACAAAAGTCGCAGGCTCGACAAAAACATAGACATAATGTTGTCATAATAATACTTCAAAAGTGAAACTGTTGGTCTAATAACTCTGAGAACTACTTCTGAAAAGACAAGTTGCTAAATGACCTTGTTCTATGGTTAAGGCAGAATTTGCCAAACATAGAAGTTACAACATTAAAGTTGTAAACCCCTCATGAGAAAGGTGACTATATAACATTTTGAAAAATATGCAAATTCTGAATGGATGAAAAGAAAAAGCGTAAATAATGTCCGAAAAGCTTTATTCAGAAAATTTGCTATTATGATATAAACAGAGATCTCATTACATAAACTGTCATACCGAATCTTAAAATTTAGCCTTCAAAATTGCCCTATAGCAGCATGTCCTTTAGAAATAAGAACACATAACCAATTAAATGCCTAATCAAGAGCAACCCAACAGGACCTGCAAAACGAAAATTTACATCTGAAGCTCAGAAAAGGAAACAATACGTATACTGAACTCCACATGAGTACCGTAAAATCTATAAAATACTGACAAAAAAGCTACGTGTAACTAAATATGTAAAAGGCAAATATGCTTTTCTCTTGTGTGAATTGTTGGCTTGTTGAAAAGCTGATCTGTAAGTACAATGCGTATAAGCAGTAGGTTACTGTTTAAAGGGAAACTATAGTTATTCAGCTTTGAAATCATACAATTCGTAATTCGAATATGTGCTAAATTATATAGTCTATGAAAAGGTTTATATTATGAAATGAAGTGCTCTAGGCAAGCCACTCACTCTAAATTTCATAGTATATACCTTTCCATAGACTAACCTTTACTTGGTTATGAGATTTAGAGCGAGGGGCTTTGCCTCGAGCACTGATTTCATAGAATCCAATTTTATAGTATTTACCTTTCCATTGGCTATCCAATTTAGACATATTTACAATTCGAGTAATCTAATAATTGGTCTGTTGATAGTTTACTTTGATGACTATTTGTTTCAAATGTGTTTGTAAAACGGGGATCATTTACTAAGTCTTAAATTTACTCACTAGTATCATAGCTATCATATTTGTTAAATTTTTAACAATGATCTACCATATCATGAGTTTATACATGCAGCAAACAAGGACTGGCAAAAATAGTGGTTTATAAGTCAATCTCACATTAACAAATGTGATTTTAAAAGGCCCTTGACTCCAGAATGAAAAATGGTAGCTGGTGGTGTAAGTATTTTTGTTGGTATAAAGCGGTGTCTACTCCGTTACATGGTGAGATGACAAAATATATTTAACAAAATCAAGCATAGATAATTTAGTAGTAATGAGCGTTCTACATGTTTTAAAAACATTTTTCAATTCACAGTAAAACTAAAGCTATGTTAATTTAGAAAAAAATATAGATATATGTGGTTCGAAGATAGTTTTTGACTAGTGATAGGCATTACAAATGCAGCTAGCTATCATTTTTTTAGTAAAACTGAAGCTATGTCAGAACAGATATAGATGGCACATTGCCGTCAGACATTATCGGGCTTCATGTTCAAGGGGATTAAGTTTCTTAAGGCCGTTTAAACTGCCATCATAATAACTTCATGTGTCATTTTTATCCCCCCTCACAAATTTATATTACAAATCCTGAAGCAATTAAGCATAGTACATACTTTTTGGTGTACAAAATAACTGCGTGCATTTTAAGTGATTACATTTTAAGATTGCGTTATACTTTGATCAAGGTATTAAACACTATATTTCTATTCTTTTTTTTTAAATGATAATAACTTTTCTTTAAAAAAAAAGAAATTGTAGACCAATGATTTTAATAGCAAGATATATAAAAAAAATAATTAGAAAACTATTTACATATATTTCTTCAATGTGGGACTTTTTTAAAATAACCAGTGGCTTTTTTTCAAAATATCTTGATTACAATACAATGAAATCTTACCCTTGTGGTCATTCATGCATGGCTACTTAGTAAACGAAAAAAGTACGTACTATGAAACTTGAAAAAGGCAAATTAAAGCAATTTGATTGGCCGAGATGTAAACATGTGCTAATGACACCTAGAAGCCATTGTTTTTGACGATGACCTTGATTAAATACATTATATTCTTATAATTTCTAAGATGATAACTTGTCTCAATTTTTTTTAGATACAAAGGTTTAAACTCTTCTTGGTAAAGGTGACATTAGATTATCTATTCAAAGATAGAGGAGCAGCTCTCCTCTGCCCTATCTGTGTACCCCTCTGCCCTTATAGTTCTGTCACATCATTTGTTTGTTTTCTGATGGAAATTGTTTGTTTTGTTTAATCGCGGCAAAAATCAAAATAACAATAATACCGAACTCTAAGGAAAATTCAAAACGGAAAGTCCCTTATCAAATGGCAAAATCAAAAGCTCAAACACTTCAAACGAATGGAAAACAACTGTCATATTCCGGACTCAGTGGTCGTCTTTGCTTCATGTCTGTCATATTTGTTTTTCGTAAATTGTTTTGTTATAAATCAGGCCGTTAGTTTTCTCAATTGAATGGTTTCATATTTTTCATGTCGGGGCCTTTTACAACCGACTATACAGTATGGGTTTTTCTTATTGTAGATGGCCGTGCGGTTGCCTATAATTGCTTACATCCACTTCATTTGAATTTTGGTGGTTAGTTGTCTTATTGGCAATCATACCATATCTTCTTACTTTTACATTGGTACAGCATATCCTTATGTTGAAAATGGTGGATTAAACCTGGTTTTATAGCTAGCTAAGCATCTCACTTGTGTGAAAGTCGCATAGAATTCCATTATATTGACAACAATGTATGAGGAATACAAACAGACATAATAGGTAAAAATGTATAAAAAACTGGGGTAAAGCATTTAATTACACGAAAAAGACTGAAACACCGGCAAAACTTATTAATTTGTTTAACTATTGAAAATTCTAATTAAAAATAATGTCCTGTTCCAGACAAGAGTTACAATGTCCTTCGTCTAAAAACTGTGCTCCTCTGTTCTTACCGGATTTGTAATAACATGCGACATGTGGAGCAGGATCTGCTTACCCTTCCGGAGCACCTAAGATCACCCCCAGTTTTTGGTGGGGTTGGTGTTGCTTAGTCTTTAGTTTTCTATGTTGTGTCATCTGTACTATTATTTGTCTTTTTGTCTTTTTATTTTTGGCCATTGCGTTGTCAGTTTGTTTTCGATTTATGAGTTTGACTGTCCCTCTGGTATCTTTCGTCCCTCTCTTAAACTCTGTCTAAAACAATGATCATGCATTTAACTATCTTTGTTTGGATTATTTGTTTGAAGGTTATGAGCGTGTCATTCGAGAAGAGCGTGTCATTCGAGAAGAGCGTATCCACAAGCCTACCCTGAACCTTGAAAAAAATAAATCGTTTTGATTTGACATAATACTTAGTTAGAGACGTTTGGGCAAATGACCAAATGGTTGACGAAAATTGTAGTTTTAAACACATTTAAGGCTAAATAAAAGCGAATTAGACACGTCTGGAGTAAGGACACATTGGTTACACATAAACTTTTTTACTGAATACTTCTAATTTTCTTAACTTTGTTATTGTATATTCTAACACACAACATGCCTATATATCCCTATACATGTTGTCTATAAATAGATACTGATATTGTAATATTCGTGTAGCTGTACGCAATGATAGAACAACATGAAAATCTTAGGTTCGTGATTGCAGTGATATAAATCTTCCATAAAGGAATCATATGAAAATTTAAACCCCCACAGAAAGACTTATAAACATTTCAGTTATGTCAGTTTTCTTCATTTAAACCTATTTAGTTTAAAAATTTGTATTGTATTCAGAAAAAAATCGGGTTTGTACAGTCATTTTTGACGAATCTTAATTCAAACACCTTCTGTCTTCTGGAATATTGTTCTCTTAATAAAAAAAAACCCAAATGGATAAGATGTGAACGATAACAGGTACGGCCTTCCAAAATGAGCAAAAGCAATGTTATGTTTAATTTTACTTAACATACCATTGATGTTTGATATCAAAGTCTTAAATAGAGTGGAAGATGAACAGAAAAAAGTTATTATTGCATAGCACTAAATACATTATACAGAATATTGTCCTATTTCACTAATTTTCGCGCCATAGCTGTAGGTTGATATCGGGTAAATCTGTACAAAGTTCTAGTCCGTTCCTAGAATTAAAAAAAATAATAATAACATATATTTATTATATATACTATTGTAGATAATAGTTATAAGATATTCACTTGATAATATGTAAGGATGTATAAAAACCTTGGCAAAAAGCGAAAGTAATTATTTGTGATATTTATCATCAATAACAACCATGTAGTAATTTGCGATATCATAACTCGTTTATATAAATCTGGACTTAATTAGATCTTGGGTTTCTCTCTCTCTGTAAATACATATACAAACTTCCATGCGCATGCGAATTGTTTCTTGAATAAAAGGGCATCGTTAACAAGAAGGTAACCAAAAACCCAAAACAACAAAAGAATGTAGAGTGCAACAAGACAAGTGTAAAATTGAGAATGGAAATGGGGAATGTGACAAAGAGACAACAACCCGACCATAGAGCAGACAACAGCCGAAGGCCACCAATGGGTCTTCAATGCAGCGAGAAACTCCCGCACCCGGAGGCGTCCTTCAGCTGGCTCCTAAACAAATATGTATACTAGTTCAGTGATAATGGACGTCATACTAAACTCCAAATTATACACAGGAAACTAAAATTAAAAATGATACAAGACTAACAAAGGCCAGAGGCTCCTGACTTGGGACAGGCGCAAAAATGCGGCGGGGTTAAACATGTTTTTTGAGATCTCAACCCTCCCCCTATACCTCTAGCCAATGTAGAAAAAACAAACGTACAACAGTACGCACAGTAAAACTCAGTTTAAGAGAAGTCCGAGTCCGATGTCAGAATAGTAAACAAAAATGACAATAATACATAAATAACAACAGACTACTAGCAGTTACTGACATGCCAGCTCCAGACCTCAATTAAACTGATTGAAAGATTATGTCGTCATCATATGAATATCAGGCATAATCCCTCCTGTTAGGGGTTTAGTATTATACCATCATAAAATATATGAGAAGAACATAACCCGTGTCATGCCAACAACTGGTTTTAGAATAAATATGTTTAATTCCGATGCAAAGATCCTATAAGTGAATCAATATTAAAGCCAAAATATGCAATCTTTAATGACCTGACAACAGTACCGTAACTATATCCCTTCTTAATAAGTCTGTTTAAAGGTTTTGTTAGCTTTTGAGGTGAATACTGACATTTTTGTGCTTTGTAAAGAATATTACCATAAAAGATTGGATGTGAAATACCCGAACGCATAAGATGTCTGCATGTTGAGTTATATTTACGAATGATGTCCTTATACCGATGATAAAATTTAGTAAATGTTTTGTTGTTGATAGTTTATGATATCGAAAACCCTGGTGTAATAATTTTTCAGTAATACATAAATTTCTTTCGCTAAAATCTAATACGTTGTTACATACACGAGCGAATCGTACAAGTTGAGATATATAAACACCATAAGATGGTGACAAGGGAACGTCACCATCTAAAAATGGATAATTAAAGATAGGAAATGAAAAATCATCTCTTTTATCATAAATTTTTGTATTAAGCTTCCCGTTAATGATAAAGATATCAAGATCGAGGAAAGGACAGTGGTCATTGTTAGTATTAGCTTTATTTAAAGTAAGTTCAACAGGATAAATTTCTTTAGTATACATACTGAAGTCGTCATTATTGAGAGCCAATATATCATCCAAATATCTAAAAGTATTGTTAATTTTTTTGTATCAGATGTTGTTTCGATGGGTCTTTGCTGATTTTAGTCATAAATTGTAACTCATAACAATACAAAAACAGGTCCGCAATTAGTGGTGCACAGTTTGTCCCCATTGGATTTCCAATAACTTGACGATATACGGAATCTCCAAAGCGAACAAAAATGTTATCAAGTAAAAATTAAAGGGCAGATATAGTATCAAAGCATGTCCAATTGACATAGATCTTTTGTTTGTTGCTACTAAAAAATGACCTAAAAGAGTTTGAACATATGTATTCGCATTCCGACTTTATAAATGCCCATTTAATTAGGTGTGTGAATTTTTTCTTAATAAGAATATGAGGCAAAGTGGTATATAGGGTAGAAAAATCAAAAGTTTGAACAGATTCAAAATCACCAATATATGCATGCAATTTATCAAGTACTTCCAACGAGTTTTTGACACTCCAAAAATAGTTAATTCCACTATTTTCAAAGGCCTTATTTGAACAATTTATTATCAGGTTTTTGATTGTACCAAGTGTACTAGTAAGTAGAATAGACAATTTAGTAGTGGAACAATAACTTGAAGACGAAATAAATCTATATTTGTAAGGTGATTTGTGTAGCTTCGGAAGCCAGTACATAGTTAGGACTTTCATTGTATTTGGTTCTGCTTGTAAAGAAGTAGCTAATAGTTTATGTTTGTTACAGATATCGTTTTCTGAAAATGAAGTCAGTTGGAATGTTGGTGAATTCGTGATTTCCTTTTGCAGAACCTCAATGTAAAATTTACGTCAAACTATAATGATATTATTAGCAGCTTTATCAGCCGGGACAAAAACAAATTCCTTGGCTAGTTCTTTTAGTTTATGTTTGATACGAGAAATAGGATTTTTATGGTTGTTGTTAAGAGTAAAATGTTCTTCAAAATGTTGTATACGTATATCAACTATCTTCATTACTGAATTAAAAAAAGAGTCCAAAGATTTTTTGTCAGCTTTTTCCCGTTTTATCCATTTCAAACAGTAAGCACGAAGTGAGTCGTGGATGATATTACGACACTCATTCCAATCAATAATTGACGGGGGACGATGTTTAGGTCCTTTACTGAGGAATGAATTTAACTCTCGGTCGCGAACGATGTTAAGGTCTCCTGTTTTAACATGGGAAATGGGGCCATAAGTGTATTCGGAATTACTACAATTACATGACGGAGGTGTATTTTCACTGATATTTACATCTTTACAGACTTGGCTATAATTAAACACAAATTTTCGGGTAGATTTCTTGTAAATATAACAAATAAGATGGAGTTCAGTATTATCAAAATATCCCGGAATTTGTTCTTTAACAGAATGGTCGTTAAAAATACCGGCAATATTTACAAAATTAAAACCTTTATTGACATACTTTATTTTAATAAAATGTTTTTTATGATCTTCAGGGCGATCAATTTTGGGAAACAGTTTAGAATACCAATATGCCATTATAATTTGAACGATTTCATACTTAGGACTGCAATATGAAATTGTGTTGCAATCCTCTAAAATTTTATTTAATTTATCTATAGGTAAAGAACAGAACTTGGTTAATAGATAATGTCTGCCGTTGTTTTTTGAAATAGAAATTAGGTCCGAAATATTTGTATGGTTGGTCCGAAATTTTTCTTTGATTGCGATGTTTTCTATGCCCATGAGAACGGTTTTTACGAACAGTTTTAGAAATTATATCCAAAATGTTAACAGAATCCGTTCTTGATATATTACCAATTCCCATGATATTATCATTAAGACCGAGAGGGTAGACTGTCTGTAATTTTTTAATCCAATTTAATTCAATTATTTTCCGTGATCGTACAAACTTTGAATGAGATTCACCAGGCTGCTTATTTACTACTTCTAAAGGTTGAACTGTTAAATATTTAATAGGATGATTGTGCTTTTTAAGATGTTGATCAATGATACTTTTGATTTTATTGGGTCTTTTAAAACGATACAGGTGTTCTTGCGTGCGTTTAGATAAGTATCGTCCAGTTTCACCTACGTACTGAATACCGCATCCCGGTTTGTTTCATGTGAGTAAATAAATAATACTGTTTGTTTTTCAAGTTATATCAGTTTCAAAATTTAAAGAAAATGTGCGACCATTAAACGTAGACCTTACCGTATTGTTGGTGGAAAGACGGGGACATGTAAGTTATTTTTTGGCATGACACTTATCGATAGAAGGGTAACCACGATTTTTATTGTTAAAAATGTTAGCGATGGTTGTATTTAAGATAAGCGATTTTGAAGATTGAGACGTGTAGATACCCTTTGAACGAGTTTTGTATTTAATATTTTTCCATTTCTAAGCTTCATATTTGTTTTTTGTTATGTGGATTTTATTAGAAAGGAGCAAAGACTGGCGTCCAGAATATGAACCAGCACACAATAAATTGAATTATGTGGATATGATAAAACTGTTCAGCTAAAGACGTCAAACACTATCCGTCATAAATTACCCGAAAAATAAAACAAAAGATAGGGTATATCAGGGTAGCGACTGACGTCTGACTGAATAGAAGAATGGAGCTGAATGTGAAATACTACTTTTTGATAAATATTCCTAAAGTAATGAACATAGAGAAGTTCTCGCTCGGACACGCACTCCATAATCTAGTATATTATAAGAGCATAAAGCTGAAGCACGGTGTCAAGATCTATTTTACCCCGAGTCAAGTAAATTGTAAATAAATTAAACAGAGACTATAAAAGATATGCAGACAACATCCAATTCCCTTCAAAGAAAAAAAAACCGTTAAGATATAACCAATGACAACCACTGACGAGGTACCCGGACAGGCACACAAACAGGTGGCGGGTTAAATCAAGTTATTTGATTGGCCAATCCTCTGTCCTTTAATATTGACTTGGACTTAAAAAAAAACGGTTCAGAAAAACACATTTTATTTTATAATATTGCACTAATACTTACCAGTAAAAGTCTGAAATGGACACTTTTGGTACTTGACTGTATTGATTTTTACTCGACCATTCTGAATTGGTCTGAATTTTACTCGATAGTACTAGATTGTAGTCGAAACCATACTTAACAGTCTTAACTTTAACTCCACCCTTATCTTCACAATACTAGAAAGTCTAAACTCGACCCGACTTGATTCATACTCGACCAGGCTGAAACAGTCTTACTCATTCTCAGTACTTAACCACATCTTGGCCTGTTTTCTGAACCATACTCGGCAAAAGTCTGAACATTACTTGACCTCTTAATTCAACAGTAAACCACTTATTTTTTACATTTATTTCTTTTAATCTCACAAATTACTTTCTTTTATATAATACCTCTTCGTCCAATTTCTACCCAAGGGAAACAAATCTTGTAGAAATATACTCTAAATAGAGGATTGTTAAGACTTGGTCTAGTATGGTTCAAACTTGGTCTAGTATGGTTCATACTTGGTCGAGTATGGTTAAGACTTGGTCTAGTATGGTTCGGACGTTGTCGAGTATATTTCAGACTTGGGTCGAGTATGATTCAGACTTTCTAAAATGGTTAAGAACTGGTCGAGTACAGGTTGAGTACAAAATCAGACTGATTAGTATGATTCAGACTAGAGTCTAATAGTATCGAGTAAAATTCAGACCAATTCAGAATGATACTGCCCTTTTCAGAATTTTACTGATTTGTAGTGAATCAGGTATATTTCATATCAAAAATCGGATCACTTGTACGTCATTTGGTCTCTGGTAGAAAATTGTCTCACTGACAATCATACCACATTCTCTAATTTTTAAATTATAATTATGTATATAATCGACAGTGAAATCTGAATGATTGTCTTTATAATGAACTATATACAAAAATACAGGATATATAGATACACAGCCACGTCAGATTGGACGTGTTAACACCAAATTTCAAACTTGCATCCAATAGGAGCCTGAGTGACTGTCATACAAGGTGGAGACTTATTCCACTGTGAAAGCCTCCATGCAATTTCGTTTGAAAGTGGTTGCATCAGGTCAGGACTTTGACTTGCAGTTGTTCTCATGAGGATGATATTTTTAGTTGATTTCCCCAAATCTAGCCATAATATATGGACATTGATTTCTTACAATATGCTGTAGTGTGGTATATTTGGTATTACCTATTCATTGACTTTTTATTTGTCTACTTGACCCAATTCCTATTTTTAACTTCGTTTTTGGTTTACTTGTTTACAAAATCATTGTCATCGATATTTTTGTCTCTCTGATTTTCTTACATCATATATACCTACCATTCTGATACCACATTGAAAATTCGTCTTTGAATTTGGTGCAATCCAAAGTTCTCACAGAATAGCTTTGATAGCTTCATTCTCTTTATTGAATGCAACTGATCTGAAATATAAAATATCAAACTTAGAAATTGTAATTTTGTTTTCTATTTTCCATAAGAATTATTGAATAGAAAATAATGCGTAGTACATAAAGTTTTGCATTTGTTTACCGGAAAGAAACCTTGCACATAATTTTCTGATTTATTCAAATAGCTAATTTTCCGACTCGTCATAACATGTATACAAATATCCATAGAGTTCACCATTACTTTTAGTTATATCATTCAAAACTGCGTTGAGGTCACCATTACTTTTACTTGTATCATTCGTTCGCTTATCTTTACTGGAAAATAAACTTTCTACGTTCATCAAATCTCATTTATTAAAATCAATAGTTTAAACATAACTATTAAAACAACTTTAACTGAAAAGTAAAACGTACTTAGAAACATGTAAAGTAACATTGAAAGACAGCAAATGTATAAATCAACACCCCAGCCTGTAAAAACAAAGTAACATTGAAAGACAGCCAATGTATAAATCAACACCCCAGCCTGTAAAAACAAAGTAACATTGAAAGACAGCAAATGTATAAATCAACACCCCAGTCTGTAAAAACAAAGTAACATTGAAAGACAGCAAATGTATAAATCAACACCCCAGCCTGTAAAAACAAAGTAACATTGAAAGACAGCAAATGTATAAATCAACACCCCAGCCTGTAAAAACAAAGTAACATTGAAAGACAGCAAATGTATAAATCAACACCCCAGCCTGGAAAAACAAAGTAACATTGAAAGACAGCCAATGTATAAATCAACACCCCAGCCTGTAAAAACAAAGTAACATTGAAAGACAGCAAATGTATAAATCAACACCCCAGCCTGTAAAAACAAAGTAACATTGAAAGACAGCAAATGTATAAATCAACACCCCAGCCTGTAAAAACAAAGTAACATTGAAAGACAGCAAATGTATAAATCAACACCCCAACCTGTAAAAAAACAAAGTAACATAGAAAGACAGCAAATGTATAAATCAATACCCCAGCCTGTAAAAACAAAGTAACATTGAAAGACAGCCAATGTATAAATCAACACCCAAACCTGTAAAAACAAAGTAACATTGAAAGACAGCAAATGTATAAATCAATACCCCAGTCTGTAAAAACAAAGTAACATTGAAAGACAGCAAATGTATAAATCAACACCCCAGCCTGTAAAAACAAAGTAACATTGAAAGACAGCAAATGTATAAATCAACACCCCAGCCTGTAAAAACAAAGTAACATTGAAAGACAGCAAATGTATAAATCAACACCCCAACCTGTAAAAAAACAAAGTAACATAGAAAGACAGCAAATGTATAAATCAATACCCCAGCCTGTAAAAACAAAGTAACATTGAAAGACAGCCAATGTATAAATCAACACCCAAACCTGTAAAAACAAAGTAACATTGAAAGACAGCAAATGTATAAATCAATACCCCAGTCTGTAAAAACAAAGTAACATTGAAAGACAGCCAATGTATAAATCAACACCCCAGCCTGTAAAAACAAAGTAACATTGAAAGACAGCCAATGTATAAATCAACACCCCAGTCTGTAAAAACAAAGTAACATTGAAAGACAGCCAATGTATAAATCAACACCCCAGCCTGTAAAAACAAAGTAACATTGAAAGACAGCCAATGTATAAATCAACACCCCAGCCTGTAAAAACAAAGTAACATTGAAAGACAGCAAATGTATAAATCAACACCCCAGCCTGTAAAAACAAAGTAACATTGAAAGACAGCAAATGTATAAATCAACACCCCAGTCTGTAAAAACAAAGTAACATTGAAAGACAGCAAATGTATAAATCAACACCCCAGCCTGTAAAAACAAAGTAACATTGAAAGACAGCAAATGTATAAATCAACACCCCAGCCTGTAAAAACAAAGTAACATTGAAAGACAGCCAATGTATAAATCAATACCCAAGTCTGTAAAAACAAAGTAACATTGAAAGACAGCCAATGTAATCAACACCCCAGCCTGTAAAAACAAAGTAACATTGAAAGACAGCAAATGTATAAATCAACACCCCAGCCTGTAAAAACAAAGTAACATTGAAAGACAGCAAATGTATAAATCAACACCCCAGCCTGTAAAAACAAAGTAACATTGAAAGACAGCAAATGTATAAATCAATACCCCAGCCTGTAAAAACAAAGTAACATTGAAAGACAGCAAATGTATAAATCAACACCCCAGCCTGTAAAAACAAATACTTCAGTAACATGAGATATGGGTGATACACCACCACATGTTCTTAAATAATGGACAATGCAAATCTATGCATACAGTATATGTAATGATTGCACTGGACACTAGAATAGTCCTGAACAATAAAGAATATGGAAAAGGAGATGTGGTATGATTGCCAACGAGACAAATATCCAACAGAGACAAAACTTACCTGCATAGGTCATAGTACGGCTTTCAAAGATGAGGAAACCTATACCGTTTAAAAGAGGGACGAAAGATACCAGAGGGACAGTCAAACTCATAGATCGAAAACAAATGACAACGCCATGGTCAACAATAAAAAGACAAACAGACAAATAATAGTACAGATGCATGCTATAAAAGGCCACAACATGATAAAGTTTGAAGAAATCAAAAATTAAAAGAGAAAACTAACTGTATGATTCTGCCAAAACAATAAACGAAAAAAACAAACATGACAGACAGCAACCAACGACATTTGTCTTCACCTAATGAATTTGAATATTCCTTTAGTATCTACCATCTCTCGTTAAGTATACGGAAATTCGATAGTTCACAATAGTTCTATGATATAATATTCTGACAGTTTTGATGAGCGATGAGAATTGATCACAACAGCAGTTATAACAAACATTTCCAACAAACCTTCAGTGAATCCAATTTCTGAATCTGATGTCTCGTACCAGAATCGATCACCCTTTTTCAATGTTTCAAATTGCTCTCCAATTAGACAAGCAAATGTAGGTCCCACAAGTCCACCTGGAACTTTATTTTCTGTGATCGCTCCTGCAAACAAATCAATGTCCGCCACATTCCTGTAAAACATCGAAATAATGTATAAACAATATGAAAACAACGGGAAATATACGTGAATACTGAAAACATCGGGAAATACACGTGAATACTAAAAACAGCGGGAAATATACGGGAATACTGATACAAAAGAAACAAGGTAAACGCTAGTGAGATAAAAACAACATTAAAGTTATAAAGTACATTGTAACCATAATATATAACCAAATTTCTTCAATGAGACGTCAGTGATGGACATTACTGTTCCTATAAATAACTAAATGTTATTACTGGAAATCAATTAAAAAGGTCGAATACCGATGTCCAAAGTGTAAACAGACAAACATGAGTGTAAATAACAAGATACACTCTATTACCTTACATTGGCTATATCATGATTCATTGATGTTTATGAATACATATTACCGCAGTCTAGATACAAACAACTTCTGCTTAAATACTTAACACAGGGATTAAACTATCAACTTGGGATACTCTTGATATTTTTTTATCAAAACAACTATACATTTATATTTGGTTTGGAGAAAAAATATATGCTCTACGTCCCTTAATTAAACACTATCCCAAGTTAGGGGAAGGGTGGTTGAGCGCTCACAAACATGTTTAACCCCGTCACATTCTTTATGTGCTTGTCCCAAGTCAGGAGCCTGTAGAACAGTGGTTGTTATTGGTTCATGTCAGTCATATTTGATTTTCGTAAATTGTTTTGTTATAAATTAGGCCGTTACTTTTCTCAATTGAATTGTTTCATATTTTTTTTATTTCGAGACCTTTTATAGTCTGTATGGGTTTTTCTTATTGTTGAATGCCGTACGGTGGCCTATAATTGCGTACTATCACTTCGTTTTTAATCGAGTGGGTAGTTGTCTCATTGGCAATCATACCACATCTCCTCATTTGTATATAATCAGTATACTCACTGGTAGAGATCTTTCAATATCCGGGTAACACTCCATCTATGATCCGCCAAACCCTCGTCCGCATTCGGATTCCATCGTGTAACAGTTGATAGACCACAATGTTCTCTAAAAGCATTATATGCTGGAAGGCCATGATCTCTTCCTCTCTGAATATTTATCGCTGGAAGATCGGAACTCTTGCCATTTTTCAGAAACAGAAGATCTCTTATTTCTTTTACGAAAAATCTTAAAACGAAAGATGTTTTTGTTTATAAGTTTGGCAACAATATAAAAACTTTTAAAACGTTTAAATATATCTGAATAATAACACTACAATAACGAAAAATGCTTGTACGTTTTTCGATTTTTCTATCAGACTTTGTCCAATACTGTGATTACGTTGTCCAAACATTCATTTCTATCAACAGTTAAGGTAGATTCATGGTATACCGCCATCTTGGATTGTACAATCTCATTACAAAATTGGTCTAGTTATTTGCCCAAATCTGCAAATTTGGAGACAGATTTGCAATTTTATGGTTAGATTGTTTATTTATATAAAGAAAACTTGGTGATTTATTGTATTATTCAAAATATTTAAACAATGATCAAATTTTGTGTTTTTAGAATCATTTTTTTTTAAAATAAGCCATTCAAGGGGAGATAACTCTTTTAGTAAAAATATACACTGGACTGATAGAGAAATTTTAAATTCTTACTTGTAGCAAGAAAACAAGCTCGGTGACACGATTTTTTTTTTTTTATCTTTTCAAAACATATTATAAAACCTATCTTCTTACAATTTATTTCAAAATTCTATCTCATAGAATATTTTTATTCACACAAATGTGTTTTTTCATGAACAATCTAAATTTAGGCAATTTTCAACGACTCGTAGCTTGGAGAATAGCACGGTGACCCATACTTTTTATTATATTTTTGAAAAAAGCATAGTAAAATCTTCCTTCTGGCAAAGTATAAGAAAATTCTATCTCAAAAAGTATATACTTATGATCAACCTTAATCTGAACCTGTGTTAACTATCATAGCTATTTTTTCAAACCAAAAGTTAAAACTTGTCAAAAGTGCAAAAAGATGTGGTTGTTTCAAATATTCCTTTAAAGGTGTATTTGTTATCAACATTCTTTTTTTTAAATTTTAATTAATTTTGGGTTCATGAACGTAAACTGGAAGCTTATTTAGGCTTTCGAAACGTTAACCTTACGTGCTGGGTTGGTCTCATTGTAATATTTCATATGATAAGTTGTTTACCAATTCGTAAACCATCAGTATATAACATTCTACAGTACCAAAGTAAGAAACTTAAAGACGATTTTTGTCGAGCCTTCGACTTTAGTCGAAAAAGCGAGACATAGCGATCCTACATTCCGTCGGGGTCGGCGTCGTCGTCGTCGTCGTCGGCGGCGTCCACAAATATTCACTCTGTGGTTAAAGTTTTTGAAATTTTAATAACTTTCTTAAACTATCCTGGATTTCTACCAAACTTGGACAGAAGCTTGTTTATGATCATAAGATAGTATCCAGAAGTAAATTTTGTTAAAATAAAATTCCTGTTTTTCCGTATTTTACTTGTAAATGGACTTAGTTTTTCTGCCAGGATACATAACATTCACTCTGTGGTTAAAGTTTTTAAAATTTTAATAACTTTCTTAAATTATCCTGGATTTCTTCCAAACTTGGACAGAAGCTTGTTTATGATCATAAGATAGTATCCAGAAGTAAATTTGTTAAAAAAAAAATTTCATTTTTTCCGTATTTTACTTATAAATGGACTTAGTTTTTCTGCCAGGAAACAATACATTCACTCTGTGGTTAAAGTTTTTTAAAATTTTAATAACTTTCTTAAACTATCCTGTACCAAATTTGGACAGAAGCTTGTTTATGATCAAAAGCTAGTATCTAGAAGGAAATTTTGTTAAAAGGAGTAGGTCCGGTAAGGGCCGATTTTGGCCTCAAAATTCAAGTTCATCTGATGAAAGATTTTGGACACATTTTAAACACTTAAGTGTCTACTCCAGTCGATTCAATCAGTTAATGTGAAAGGTTTGAACCGATTTAGTCATTAAAGACGCTCAAATTCAAGCTTAAATATGAAAAATCTATCAAATATGCCATAATATGTCACTTTTCAGATGGTTTTTGTCAAAAATGAAAGTGGCCGCATCCGTGTTCATTCTCAACCTTTATATATGTTATGTATTATCATCAAATACAACTTACATTTAAATATTAAGAATGAACACAAATGCGGCCACTTCCATTTCAGACGGAAACCGTCTAAAAATTAACCAAAATGCTAAAATTTCGAAGATTTCAGTTATTTAGCATGACTTCATGATGCTAGTACCCGATACATGTGCATTGTATTATCAAAAACAGCCCATATGTATGTAACAGAAGTGTTCTTCTTTCCAATGAATAGTTAAAAGTTTACATTTTAACAATTTTGTAAAACTGCTATATTTTGGGGCCAAAAAGGGGTCTTACTGAACCTACTCCTTTGTACCTGTTTATCTGTATTTTACTTATAAATGGACTTAGTTTTTCTTCCAGTTATCATTAAATACAGTCTGCAGTTAAAGTTTTTAAAACATTTATTAGATTCATAAACTATCCTGGATTTATACCAAACTTTGACAGAAGCTTCTTACAATCAAAAGATAGTATCTAAAGGAATATTTTTATTGATTTGTTTTCCTCTTTTTTGTTGAGCCTGCGATTACCAGCAAAAGTAGGCGAGACACTGGGTTCCGCGGAACCCTTACGATTTTTTTCTCAATACAGAGGATAACCAAGACCGAAGGAAAGAACACAGACAACAGTTAAAATATCTGTAAATGCAGACAATATATTTAGTACATGAAGTGACTGTTAAAGAAACGTAAAATGTAATCATAAAGCAAAACCAGGAGAGCAAAACGAAATGTAAAGATCAATGAAACCAAAGGTTCGCTAAACTATATATTGTAAAAGTACCAATTTACTGGTCATTCTAGCATTTATTGTAAGGAACATATATACCTATCAGTATCCATGGCTTTATCGTATGACAACCATCTCATCAAGGCTGGTACTTGTTTTCCTTTATTTTTTTGTATCATGTGTGTATTCATAAACTCTTTTTCCAGTGGATAGTGTTCAAACGAGACATAATCATGGAACAGGTAAGCTTGTTCTGGCATGACTTGAGAATGTCCAAACCGGAACGCAGCAGCTGCAAATGCATTTCGAACTGATGGATTTAGATCTGGATCGTAAGGGTCGTCATATCCCCATGGTGATAACTCAAGGTCGTAATAAGTCATAGCATCAGGACCAATTACACCAGGTAAATATTCATTATAAGATATGTGTTGTATCATTGCACCTACAATTTTTCGTGTTTCTTGAAAAACTCTTTCATCATCCCAATGGGGATTTACTACTACAAGTTCATCTGCTATCCTGTTATGTTCTCGCATCAATAAAATATGGTTTCCTCCAAGATTTGGCACGACATCTACTCTGCTATCGCCTGTAAATAATAGTGTTTAAATGTAGCATATTTTATATGAAAACGATTGGTTTAAAATATCATAAAAATGTGTAATAGTGAAAATAAAATAATTGAAAATAAAAGACTCTTTCGTTTTTATTTTTACATATTTTCTATTTGTTAAGTTTCCTAAACGATTATCTTTTTCGCTTGACTTTTGCTTAAAATATATATTTTTAGTAACATCTGAATGATTACTAACGAAGGATGAAATGGGTGTCAACACAGACACATCGTATCCGTCAATCGATATGTAATTGTCGGTTATAAAGTTCCAAAACCAAGTAATATTACAAAGGAGTAGGCCCGGTAAGACCCCTTTTTGGCCCCAAAATATAGCATTTCAAAAATTTGTTAAAAATGTATTCTTTTAGCTATATATTGGAAAGTAGAATACTTTTGTTACATTAATATGGGCTGTTTTGACATTACACCGCACATTCATCAGGTACTATTTTCACAATTTTAGCATTTGTGCTAATTTTAAGACGGTTTTTGTCTAAAATGGATGTGGCCGCACTTGTGTTCAGTCTTAATATTTAAACATATGTTGTATTTGATGATGATACATAACATATATAAAGGTTGAGACTGAACACGAATGCGGCCACTTCCAGTTTAGACAAAAACTATCTGATACGTGATGTTTAGTGGCATATTTGATAGTATTTCATGTTTAAGCTTGAATTTAGGCGTCTTTAATGACCAAATCAGTTCAAATCTTTTACATAAACTAATTGAATCGACTGAAGAAGACACTTTATGGTTTAAAAAATGTCAAAAATCTTTCATCAGATGTACTTTAAATTTTAGGCCAAAATAAGCCCTTACTTGACCTTCTCCTTTCAAACATTCTCTTTGCTGACTCTGCCAAATGATCCACCAAAAACTCAAACCGGGCTTCAGAATAACTAAATCTACCTCTTTGGATATGGAATCGTTTTTTTACCTTAAGGATATGATACAGTATACACATAAAGCAAAGCCCCGATCCTTGTGCAATGTATTAAACATTTGACTACATCGTTCTCATAACTTTAGAAACAACTAAAAACTCATGGTCAACATAAACACAATTATATAGTTTTATTGAGGTTCAAATCATTCTTTGACAAAAAGTCACTCTCATTCTAACAACAACCGAAATATCTGTAATGCTTGATTTATTTTACTAAACGTATGTATGGTAGACGTGCTTTGCTCCGTGTTATCTTCTTTTCCAAAGGGACCAGTACACCCAAGAATGTTTGAAAGAGACATGGGCACTCTTCATATGAGGTGTGTCGGAACAAAACGGACACGTTTATTATGGTCAACGCCTTACCTTGCAGACAAAACTAAGTTATCAACAACCAAAGAAACACCGGAACGTTGAGATGTGTTGCCTTAATATCCAATTAACAACAGCATTTTGATCACCGAAACTTCAAACGGATTAATATCCATTTGGCAACAGCGTGTTGGCCACCGAAACTTCAAAAGGATTAATATCCAATTAGCAACCGCGTGTTGACCACCGAAACTTCAAAAGGATTATTATCCAATTAGCAATAGCGTCTTGGCCAGCGAAACTTCAAAATGATTAACATCCAATTAGCAACAGCGTGTTGACCACCGAAACTTTAAAGGGATTAATATCCAATTAGCAACAGCGTGTTTACCACCGATAACTCAAAAGGATTTATATCCAATTACCAACAGCGTGTTGACCACCGAAACTTCAAAAGGATTATTATCCAATTAGCAACAGCGTGTTGATCACCAAAACTTCAAAAGGATTATTATCCAATTACCAACAGCGTGTTGAAGACCGAAACTTCAAAAGGATTATTATCCAATTACCAACAGCGTGTTGAAGACCGAAACTTCAAAAGGATTATTATCCAATTACCAACAGCGTGTATACCACCGAAAACTCAAAATAAAATATTATCCAACTAGCAACAGCATGTTGATCACTGAAACTTCAAAAGAATTATTATTTAATAAGCAAAAGCGTGTTGACCACCGAAACTTCAAAAGGATTATTATCCAATGAGCAAAAGCGTGTTAACCACCGAAACTTCAAAAGGATTATTATCCAATTAGCAACAGCGTGTTGATCACCGAAACTTCAAAAGGATTATTATCCAATTACCAACAGCGTGTTGAAGACCGAAACTTCAAAAGGATTATTATCCAATTAGCAACAGCGTCTTGGCCACCGAAACTTCAAAAGGATTATTATCCAATTACCAACAGCGTGTTGAAGACCGAAACTTCAAAAGGATTATTATCCAATTACCAACAGCGTGTTGAAGACCGAAACTTCAAAAGGATTATTATCCAATTACCAACAGCGTGTTTTCCTTCGATAACTCAAAAGGAATATTATCCAATTAACAACAGAATGTTGATCACTGAAACTTCAAAAGAATTATTATTTAATTAGCAAAAGCGTGTTGACCACCGAAACTTCAAAAGGATTATTATCCAATCAGCAAAAGCGTGTTGACCACCGAAACTTCAAAAGGATTATTATCCAATTAGCAACAGCGTGTTGATCACCGAAACCTGAAAAGGATTATTATCCAATTACCAACAGCGTGTTGAAGACCGAAACTTCAAAAGGATTATCATCCAATTAGCAACAGCGTCTTGGCCACCGAAACTTCAAATTGATAAACATCCAATTACCAACAGCGTGTTGAAGACCGAAACTTCAAAAGGATTATTATACAATTACCAACAGCATACACCGATAACTCAAAAGGATTATTATCCAATTAGCAACAGCATGTTGATCACTGAAACTTCAAAAGGATTATTATCCAATTAGCAAAAGCGTGTTGATCACCGAAACTTTAAAAGGATTATTATCCAATCAGCAAAAGCGTGTTGACCACCAAAACTTCAAGAGGGTTATTAATAAATTAGCAACAGCGTGTTGATCACCGAAACTCCAAAAGGATTATTATCCAATTACCAACAGCGTGTTGAAGACCGAAACTTCAAAAGGATTATTATCCAATTACCAACAGCGTCTTGGCCACCGAAACTTCAAAATGATTAACATCCAATTAGCAACAGCGTGTTGATCACCGAAACTTCAAAAGGATTATTATCCAATTACCAACAGCGTGTTGAACACCGAAACTTCAAAATAATTAGCATCCAATTAGCAACAGCGTGTTGACCACCGAAACTTTAAAGGGATTAATATCCAATTAGCAACAGCGTGTTTACCACCGAAAACTCAAAAGGAATAATATCCAATTAGCAACAGCATGTTGGCCACCGAAACTTCAAAATGATTAACATCCAATTAGTAACATCGTGTTGACTACCGCAACTTCAATGGGAGTTTTGCACGATTATCACAAAGGTTTGACGAATAATACGGATCGACATCAACAGTGGAAACTATAAAGTTTTGTTTCGGAATATTTTTTTTAAGCAGACCGACTATTCTGTAGAACTATATTTACCAGCAGCTTGACAGATATCATTCTTATTCAACTTCAGACACATTCCAGCAGAATTTTCAGGTAACAGATTCGTATCTGTACACCTCATTCGACCTTCAAAACAAAAATAATACTTGAAACATTGAGTCAACTGGTGATTTTTTTTTCACACACGGGTGTTTCTGTATTGATAGAAAACAATGTATTTTACAAAACAGACAAAATAAGTTAAATGGTAAACAAATTAATATATTACATTAACCGTAGGCTTTGAAGAAATACCTTTACATATGAAGAGCTTATAATCTAATCACAATCAAAAGGAAAGTAACTATCTACCAGTCTACAAATCAGCTTAACTTCCCGCTCCAAGGCTAAAAACAAACATATAAAAATGCTACACAAAAGCCTTAAGCGAAAATGCTAGAAATTCAAAATACTCATTGAGACCTAATATATAGATAAATAAAGAATATATAGAAATTATTTTAAAGATATCGACAAACCCTGGCTAAATTATTATTACATTTAAATATAAATAGATGTCCTTTTTGTGAAATATAAACACCATTAATTTAAATAAAACCAAACCTCCAGAAAACTCTCGTAGACTATCCATCTCTTTCTTGGTTGATCCGTACAGCATAGAACCATCAATATACGAGGTTAATTCATTTACTTGTTCCCTATGTGCTTCAAAAGAAACAAGTTATTTCATATGAGCTTATGTTAAATTTATGGCGAAAAAAAGATCTGATGAGTGTGTTTAACGACCTTGACTGGCTATAAAGCCCTCGAACGGTCGGTTTGAAATGAAGTTACGGAGTCAAGTTGTCTTCTGCCATCTTGGATTTTTAATAGCAGAATACAATCGGTCTAGATGAGAGAGGAATGCAACTCATTTTATAAGACTTTTCATTTAGATGAAGAAAATCTTATCATTACGACTGGTTTTTGTTAAAATACAGAATATCTTTTGTTCGATTCAATTTTTATCCAAATTATTCATATAAAGGTAAATAACTCAGATAAACTTATTCTATGAAGGAATGTACAATAAATATACCTTTATTTTGTTTTGCAGCATAAAAAAGAGTTCTGTGATCTCAATTTTTATTTTTATTTTTGAAAACGCGATGAGAGCTTTCTTTTTTTTTTTTAAAAAAGCATAATGTAAACTACATTTTTGCAAAGTTTAAAACAATTCTAACGTTTTTTTTATACCCCTAATTTATCTTAATGTTTTGTAATCCATTCTTCCTGTTATCTCTATATGTTCCGTTGTCGACGTCTGTATAAAGACTTTGATTCGTTTCTGTATAACTTCGACCATTTCTATTGCCTTTCAAATTATACCAAAACCAGAATCATATACGACCTGTCTTGTATGTGATCTACCTGATGGATACGAGCCGGGAAAATGTTCACACCGTTTAGTTCTGAACAAACGGATAAAACGGTCAATCTGTATTATAATAATTTGATTCACAGTAATCAACCCGTTTGATTAATCGCAAATAATTTGAATGATTTGTCTACACCAATAACCATTTTTTTTCTGGTCACATTTCTGTAATGCTTGAAAACTGTTTAATGGGTATGTTTTACATGAGTGGGATTGTCTGTTTCAGTCTTAAAGTATGGATTTACCTGGAACACATCCTATCGTAGCTGGAGACGACCGTACAAAGTTCATACAGGTAGACGAGAAATGTGCATCATCCTCTGGTACCTCAATGGGGAAACAAGCAGGACTATAAATTATAATAACGCACAAATTAGATAAAAGTGTAACAATAATATTAGAGATTGACAAACTACATCAAAACAAGATTGACCATTTGTGTGGGAAAACTGGTGACAAAAAACATCTCCCTTCCAAATATAACTTCACTTTGTTTTACAAGTTCTGCGCAACCGGCTCATATAAACCCTTAGCAGAGAAGGTCAAGGGAATATAAACCCTCAGCCGGGAATGTCACATTTTAAACCCTGTCTGAGACCTGAATAACATAAAATATATGCGTATACAATATTTCAAATAAACACAAATTGATAGATTTATATACTTCATATGTCTTATCTTTTGATTATAGGGTGGTACGGAAACTATATCATCTTACTTATTGTTGAAGATTACCATGCATTTCGTCCTTTCTTTTTTCTTGTATTATATTTCGCTTTGTTCTTCTATAGCCCATAACGGCGCTCTTTTAGTCTTTGTCTTGAAGTACTCAATTCGTTTATGTAAAGTACATACTGAACCACATAAAAAAACAATATTGAATTGAAGAACTAACTCATCACACACTTTTTGCCATATTTATGAAATGGACTTAATGATAAAGATTCATATCGTACACGTCTGTTTATCTAACTTACTTGTCTTCATTTGCTTCATCACAACAGTCCACTTTTGCTACAAATAAATGTATTTCAATTGTTTGAAAATTCCATAACAAATACATAGCATATGCATTTCAAAGAAGGATTTAGGTAACACTGATAACTTATAATACTGCCTCGTAATATTCAATTATCTTAACTTATATTTTTTGTCTATCGACATCTATCGACAATCTCAACTGTACATTTTCAGTTTATATATTGAAAAATTGTACCAAAACTAAGGTTCACAATTAGGAAAGACTACCTTTACAGTTATGAAATTGTTGCTGTTCTATTAGGCCCTTTTGTTGATGAGGAATGTTCCGAACATATGTGTTGTACGTAATCTACTATGATTATTATCATTTGCTAACTCGATGCCCAGCCACACCTAGTTTATATATAAGTTTAAAATCTATAGCACTTTTTTCAAAGAAAATACATGTCCATACATTTATTTCACTTTATCATACTGATACTACTGAGGATTAACAAATCTAAACATAACCTTAATGTTTGAAGGTTAAAAATACAGAAAATTCGTATCAATTTGGTTTGTTAATGCACAGATCGCTGAAAATTACTCCAGGTGGCATATTAGGGCTAAACACAGAATCAACAAGAAATGATTGTAACAGGATGCTGTTACGAAGTCTCCCAAACAAAGCTCCCATAATTATGGACCCCCTAGGACTCCCCCTATTATTCATTTTATTCAACTTACAGAAAGTATATGGTATAGGTATGGGATCTGAACCACTTTCACTTGCTTTTAAAGGATTGTATGGCAATGCAAGGATTGTGGTTTCTAATAAAGTCTTTTTTTTTTATTTTGCTGAATCTTGTTGTAAATTGAGATAAATGTCATTGCTGAAAACCATAATATGAAAATCATTGGTATGATTAAATCTTTTCACTTTTATATTTGGAACTGTCTCATTTGCACTTTTATAAATATAAGTTTAAATAAATGTTGAAAATAAATGTTACCATTTTATGTCAAAAATTTCACTTTAATGAAAGTAAATCTGTACAACATCATGAAAACTGTAATATATAGGAATGACTCTACATGTTGGAAATTTGCTAAAATTCTTCACAAAGCTTAAGTCAAGACAGCTGCCAGACTCTGTAGTCATCTGTTGCACTATCTGTATGTATCCATAGTTTGTCAAGAGTTCAAGAATTTGTGAATTTAACTGAAATGCATTGTCATTGAAATCTCCAATAATTGCAACTGGCAAATGTTCTTTACTATCTACTTCATCTAGTAGACGAATAAGGTTACGACAGAACAGTTGTAATGGATAGACTGGAGGTCTATAAATATTAATGAGAACAAGTTTGGTTGGCTTTTCAATCTGGATAGCAACATATTCTATGTTTACAGCTGAGTAATTTTTTTTGGAAAATTGAACATCCTTGTGAATAAGCGTAGCAACTCCTCCTCTTTCAGCTGCAGCTAGCGTGCTGTATGGTGATGTTGCTGAGGTATATGCTTCTGATCTTGATTTAGAACATGGTATAAAGTTTGGTAATAATGATGGTGGTAAATACATATTCTTCTTTAACCATGTTTCATTAAAGCAAATAATATCAGAATTTTTAATACATGTTGCTTGTGGTATGTCTTCTTTGTGTGGTAGAAGTCCCTCTGTATTGTGGAAGGTAACAGTCAATGAGTGTTTAACTGAAGGTTCTGTTGAAGGTTTAGATAGATGGAATGATTCCATTGAATCAAGAGCTTTTGTTATATCATTTGAAGCGTATATTACTTTGGGATCAAAGTCTATTATGTGCATACCTTTTAGTGATGATACCCTGCTAAGGGCTACGTATGCCATTCCTGGTGCAAAAGTTTTTTTAAGAGATACAACGATTTCTTTAACTGTCATTCCCTGCACCTTGTGGATAGTTGCTGCCCATCCCAGTCTGAGTGGCAGTTGTCTTCTTGTAACATTCCTACCATGTAAAACTTCTTCAACTGGAGTTATTCTTACAGAATCTTGGTAAAGACTTTGTTAGTGCCAACTTCGAAATATGTTTCTTACCACTTTGAGGATGGTCAAACTTAACATAAACTGATCTTATTTCATCATTTTGACTTTTCTCTATGCCGTTTATGCTTCCAAATGCACCGTTTACTAAACCATCGTCAGTGTCTATGTTACGAATCAACATGATTCTAGCACCAAGTCCAAGTTCAATGACATCCTGTAAGTCTTCTGATGTACATGTAGAATATGGTTCATCTTTTTGTGATAATTGTCCTGTTACAGAGTTTTTGAAAAAATCTTTAGCTTTTGACTTTACAGTTTGCTGACAGACATCTTTGATCATGTGTTCATTATGTAAATTTACTTCTTTGTTTGTTGGGAAGATATGTAAAACATTTGCTGAACTTTCTGGAATTTTTGAAACAGATATAGATGATAAAACAGTCAAATCATCTTCAGAAAAAGGTTGGCCCTTAATGTGTGTTCTAATTCTGTTAAGTAATAGTGCAAATTGCTGATCATCTTTTTGTCGCATGATTTCCGTCAGGTTAACGATTTTGAAGACAGGATTCCAAAGATCAAGGAAAATAGAACTGATGTTTCTATACAATGGCGAAGATCGGACAGGAGGTAGCTGGTAAAAGTCTCCAACAGCAAGTATAGCTATGTTTCCAAAGTGTTTTTTTGTCTGCTTGATTTGGGATAATCTGCCATGAATGTATGACAGGAGTTTATGGTCAACCATTGAAATTTCATCAATAACAAGTATTCGAACACTTTCATATTTAGTGCGGAGACTATTCACGAGACTCTCTCCTAAAGGTTTGTAAGGTAGTTTGATAGCTTTGTTTATTGCAAAGGCAGAGTGGATTGTAAATCCTTCTATGTTGAATGCAGCCGTCCCTGTGGGTGCAGTAAGTAGGACTGATGTTGCATCTGGAGTACAAGCTGTTTTTGAAAGTATTCTGTTAGCCTCGTGGTATATACAACGAACCAAATGTGTCTTTCCAGTACCTGCTCCTCCAGTAAGAAAAAGATGGAATGGTTCAGGATTAATGTTAAGGGTAACATCAATACACCACTTCCTGATTTCATAATAAATTTCTTGCTGTTTTTCATTTAGTTGTCTAACAGAACTTCTTATTTGATTTGCAGTTGTTTTAGGTTTTTGGAGCTCAATTAGTTGGCTGAAATTAGTAGTATTTGACTTTTCGCTTACAAATATGTCAAACTCTGGAAGATCTTCATCTTCCTCAGGGATTTTAACACGTTTTTCCATTTCTATCTCTAATCTTTCTGCTTCTGCTTCTGGTGCTATTTGTGCCCAAGCATCTTGATGAATGTTTCCCTGCTGCAAATCTTCCCAAGCCTTTTCTAATTCTTCGGGATCAGTTTCATACCTTTTTCTGTTTGAATTTATTATATCTAGCACTTTAGACCCATCCTGTAAAACTCCAATTTTTACGAAGTCCTCATATTTCAAAAATTGTTGTGGTTTAATGTCTGCACTTCTATGAGGTAAATATAACTGAAGTAAAGAGAAATAAAACTCTTCTGGTGCTTTTTTCCTGTTGAATCTTGGATATCTGTTTATATTTTCTTTTCCCTTACATTTTGGTTTTACAAATCCTAAATGTTTTTGCATTTCATAGACTGGATTGGTTTTTGAAGATTTAGGCTTTTGTGAAATTGGATAAATATTGTACAATGAACAAAAATCTGCTAAACAAAGGTTGTCAAATTCTGACAAACAAGGACGTTCATAGCATTTTTCAAATATTGTCGTCATCCAAATATTTTCATCCTCATCCTTTCTAGATCTAATAATGTTAATAGGTAGACTCATTTTCAAAGGGTTACTACCTGTAGGTATAAATATGACATTTCTAGAACAATCCTTCAATTTGAAGCTGCATACTCTATACACTGCTTCTTGAGCGGAAACTTCTCTATTGTTCATGTAAACTTGTCCAATTTTCTTCATTGTGCCTGCTGAATCCTGGTTACCTTCAACAGCCTCTTTCTTAGCATTAAGAAGAAGTTCACTCATCTCCCCTTCTGACTTGCTGATGTAAGACAAGATGTAGGCGACACATGAGTATACATCAGTAACATATTGGATATCAATATTCGCATTCCATGCTGTTAAAAGATAATGATTGTAATTGTTCACCCATAGATCAGAAAGGTTTCTCTTATGGTGTATCACATTTTTGGTTGTCACTGTTTGTAGACATTGTTTGTATTCTAAATATGTTGTTTTTGCCTTTGTGAAAATAGCATTTAATGTGATATCAGATAGAGAATCATATGCAGTGATTACAGCCCATACATCTTTAAGTATCTGCTTGGCAGATCTTGTTGGCTTACAAATTTTGTCTAGTTGTTCAAGTGTTGTAGGTGTTTTCAGTCTAGTGCTATCTTCCTTTTTAAGTTCGTCTGTTTCAATTCTTGCAATGAATGTATTACATATGGGAGGTCTAGGGAAGTTAAACCTGCATGTTGTTGAATGTTTCTTGCAAGATTTTGTATGACTTTGACTATGCATTTGTACTGATGTAACAATTTCATAAAGTTTAGGATTTTTGTCTTTATCAGGTAACTGACAGGTTATGTGTTGATCAACAAATCTGCAAATATCTTTATCACTATCCTGATTAAGTCTAGGTGCATTGTCAATCCATACTAAACAATGGATATGGGTAGACCCTCGTTGTTGGAACTCTGTTCTAAAGAAGAAATCCACAATCTTTCCTATTGGCTGTGCTGGTGACATCAAAATATTAGTAAACAATGCTTTCACTCTGTGGTCAAATAATCTGGCACACATAACTGGGTTATCTTTAATAAGTTTGCATTTATCTGTCCATTGCAGATCACAAATATTTCTCCTGTCATGACTTACTTGGAGTAAAGTATTTAAAACATCATCCCACCGTGTTTCACCAGCAGAAAATGTTAGAAAAAATGTAGGTATTCCTATTTGCCGAATCATTGCATATAGATCCTTCATTGTTCTTTCCCAGTATGGGGGAGTGCCACGAACTGGCTGCAGGAATCGGAAGCCAATATCTGATTTCAATATCATTTTTAAATTGTCCGGTTTTGTAAACATGGAAGCATTAAGTTTCTGTCCATCTTCAGTTTTTTGCTTACCTTTACGAAGAGCTATGGATATGTTCGATGTAACATTCATTATTTCGGTCACATACTGGGCAAAAAATATATACTGACTGTCTGTGGCAAATCTAGTGTCTGCTGACAAAAGCCGTGCATTAAAGTATTTTGAAGGTGTTAATCTAACGTGTCTATCCATAGAATATCCAAATTCCCCACCAGGATGTAAATGTGGAAATGCCATTGCATCTATACCTTCCTCTTTGAATATGCTTTTTGGTATCTGGTTTTCTCCTGGAGCTAGGCAAAATACCTTCCCGTCAGTATCAAGGATATCTTGTCCAAGGTCTATAGGCTGTAAGCATGTCTCTACAGGATAAGCAGCATTATCATTATCTCCATGGTCTTTGGATTTCTCATTTTCAACTGCATCATCACTAACCTTTCCAGAATAATTATTCTTGTTTTCTTTGTTAATATCTTTATTGCTACTTTCCCCATCATCAACGTCCATCTTTTCTGAATTATTACAAAGAACAAGATCGGAATCATCTTCAGTGTACCACAAATTCTTAAGTTTCACATCTGTGTACCATTTATTTTTTTTTTATAAGGAACTGAACTGCTTCCTGCACATTAGATGGATTAATCCATTCGAACTTGTGGTAGCCTTTATATTCAATTTTACGTTTTAGTTTTACTTTTATCAACTGTGCATCATTTATTGGTCTAGGCAACGTTGCCGTTACACTGTTTAAGTCACATGGTACATTGATACAAGGTCCTTTCACTCCACTTTGACCGCCTTTTGGTAAACAAAGAACCTTCATGAATGGAATACGTAATGCAACAAGTTGCTTTTCAAGATCATTTAATTTCTTCAGTTTAGGGGGAATAGGTTCTAGATTAAGGCCATTTGCTTGTGCCTGTGGTGGCATATTGTTTGAAGATAAATGTCGGTCGCATGTAAAGCATATCCATTCCTTTGCCTTTTCACATTTTGCTTTACAATGTTCATCACAAGTATGAACAAATTTTCCAGTTAAACATTCGTTTGCTTTTTCATTTAAATACTTCGATCTGTTACATTTCTTTACCTGACTTTTGTACAAAGATCTTATGCACACTGTGCAGACATATACTGGAAGGTCTTGTATGCTTTTTTTAAATTGCTCAATTGCTTTCTGAATAGACTTTCTATTTGATATCTTTTTTTCTCTCAAAGATATGTCACTGTGATATTTGATTTTTAAAAATGTTTTTAGTTTACTTCTAAACAGTGGGTCTGATGAATATCTCTTTATAGATGAAGCCTTCAACTTGTTTCTTAAAGATTCATACCGCTGATAATTGGTCTTTGAAGCAGATTTGACTTTCTGTCTGAATACTGCATTGTTCTTGTACTTCTTGGAAGATTGTGATTTAAGTCTGATTTGAAAATCAGTATTAGTTCTGTACTTTGTCTTAGAAAATACTTTCACCTTGCTTCTAAACACCGAGTTGTTTGCATATTTCATTATGGAAGACACCTGTTTAAATTGTTTGTAATTCAAATTTGTCTTGTATCTTATTCTGTGACACTTCTTTTTGTTTTCTCTGTACACTTTGTCTGTGTTATATCTTAAATTATCACTCTTCTTTTTTTGTTCTCTATACACTTTGTTTGTTTTGTAACTTATTCTGTGACACTCTTTTTTGTTTTCCATGTAGGCTTTGTCAGTGTTATATCTTAAATTATCACTCTTCTTTTTTCGTTCTCTATACACTTTGTTTGTTTTGTAACTTATTCTGTGACACTCTTTTTAGTTTTCCATGTAGGCTTTGTCTGTGTCATATCTTAAATTATCACTCTTCTATTTTTGTTCTCTATACACTTTGTTTGTTTTGTAACTTATTCTGTGACACTCTTTTTTGTTTTCCATGTAGGCTTTGTCTGTGTTATATCTTAAATTATCACTCTTCTTTTTTTGTTCTCTATACACTTTGTTTGTTTTGTAACTTATTCTGTGACACTCTTTTTTGTTTTCCATGTAGGCTTTGTCTGTGTTATATCTTAAATTATCACTCTTCTTTTTTTGTTCTCTATACACTTTGTTTGTTTTGTAACTTATTCTGTGACACTCTTTTTTGTTTTCCATGTAGGCTTTGTCTGTGTTATATCTTAAATTATCACTCTTCTTTTTATTTTCCATATACACTTTGTCTATGCTATATCTTAATCTCTCATTCCTGTTTTTCTTTTCCTTGTGTAGTTTGTTCTTAATTGCTTTGATTTTCTTATTTTCCATATTCTGTTGGTTTGTGGTGCATTTTTTTCTAGCTTTCTCCTTGTCTTCAACATCTCTCATCTTTTGAGTTCCTTTCTTCAGCTGATCACACAAATATGTTTGTAAACTTGATGAAAAATTCTGCAAAACAGGTTGAGTAGTGGTGGTAAGAACAACATCATAATGATTTTGATTTTTGTGATAAAGATATATTCCTCTATTGTCAGATAAAGTTATTGTTTTGTGCTTGAGCCAAACCCAATGTACTCCAGACTTTGTATAGGTGTAAATATCCGTTTGAAGTAAATGGCTGGCTGTAAAAATTTCAACCTCTGTTGCCCAGGTTCCATTTTCTCTCATTCCAGTTTTTAGTAAATAGGTATTAGCATTTCCTTTATACTCTGGAGGTAAATAACATTTTAAGTCGTTTTGATTTTGTATAAAATGATTACAAATTTTATGTCTAATTATATCATGAAATGTCTGATGACCACAAATTATATATGACAATGCTGCAAAGAAGCAGTTGCCATCACCAGTAATGGTTTGATATGTAGCTGGTCTAGATAGTTGTAAAGATAAAACATCTGTTGTTTGATTATTATTCTGTGTTTTTGTAGGTTTTAGGTTTAATAGTAGCTGTACACGTTCCTTCCATACTGTATTTACAGGAAAGTAGACATAAGATGAAGAAATCTGTAAAGTATAAAATAGTGAATTATATATTAATAAACATAATATTCTTCTGAAAATATCAAGAATACAAAGTTTCAGAACTTATCATGTTATTGTGCATTAATACTCTGTTTAAACACATTTCTGGCATAACATTTATCAGGTATGCTTGTGGGAAAAATGTTGAAATAAATTAAATACTTGAAAGCAAACTCAAAGGTCTTTGTAAACAGATATTGAGTAGCTACAGCACTATAATCATTTTGAGGTGAGTATGTTTGTAAATTTTGTAAAACAAAACCCCTTTCTTTTAATAAGGCTTCTTTACCTTTTAATATCAAAACAACTAGGAACAACCCAGTTGTAGTCTTCCAGTTAATTTCGTTTTACTTTTGTGTATATTTCATTGAAGTTTTAAATAGTTAATTTTGATCTTTTTACTTTTTTGTTTTTGTTTCTTTTCAATCAATAGATGAGAATCAAACATTGGTAAACTACTGTTGCTTATATTTTAAACTTACATACCTTCTCTCTAAATTGCTGCTTCCGTTTTTTGTCTTGTGTTCTTTTTGCTCTATTTTTCCTTGCCATGTTGATATATTTCTGAAATATATACAATAAATTCTACACAGATGTCTATAATTATAATTATGACATTGGTTGCAACGAATCCCAATGATTTTTGATTGAAATTAAAACGGATAATTTTACTCCTCTGACATTATACAACAGTGCCTGTGCATCAAAACAATTGAGAATGTGTAGAAAAGATATAACTCCTTTCATTTTCGACTCAATTTCCAATAAAAAGTGATAATAATAAAAAGAATAACTAATCCAAGAATTGAAATATTGAAAAATATTCAACGAGTGACCGAACAACACTGATAATTAACTGATGTGCTATGCATAGGTTGTGCTTTACCTGCTGTTTATATCATTTGTTGTTTCTGTAATATTGAAAATACATACATTTGATTAAATAAAAAAGAATATCATACTTTCATACCTGACTACAATATCTTTTTTTAATAAATGTCTAATATTCTTCACTTGAGCAACTGTTCTTATATTGGTAATAATGGTGTTGACAATTCCTAAAAAAAAAAAAAAAACTTTATTTCAACAATACATCATTTTGAAATACACAAAATACTGATAACAGAATAAAAGTTAACTATCCAGGAAAACAACAGAATCTCTGCTCTGAAAAATATATATATTAAACAATAAGAACATCACAAAATTAATATCATAAAAAGTGTCTTAAATTGTTTAGATAACACTGTTTATTTTATAATTTCTTCTGTTCGGATTCTTTTAAGTACAAGTCATTTGCTTCAGAAGAGTGTGATGCTGATGTCCCAGGATCATTGGGATCAGATACTTCTGCTGTTTTTTTTTCATCCTTTGGTTTATCATCCTGGGATGCATCCTGGGATGACATTAATGAGTCATCAAACTCATCTGTTTCATACTCCTCTAGTTTTCTTTTGAGAGTGTAGTTTTGCTTCAATGTCTCAGACATCTTTTTTCTACGTTCGCTTTCGGTGTTTTCATTTTTTTTAATTACTGTCTGCAGTACATCTGCATCACAAGAAAGCTTATTCCCCATTTGTAGAAAATCATCAATGGTTTTAGTGAAAAAAACACTATGTTCAGCAGGAACTTTACTAGAAAATTTTGAAAAGCATCCTTGTAATTGATATGCCTTGGCCTTCATTTCTTCTGACATTCTCTTCATGTTTACATATGTCTGTTGCATGTTTTCCTGCAAATTTAATCAAAATTCAACAGCTGTAAGTATTACCTAACAGGTACATAAATGTGGCCAATTAAAATCAATTTAATGAATTTCCTCTGCCTGCTCCTAGAAATAAATCTTTTCCGCCATAACAATTTCAGTGTCCAGAAAACAGTAACATGCAAAAACAGGAAGAAGGTGTCCAACAGATAAAAAAGTGCTCATATGTTGCAACTGATTTCTGACAACTTGCTTACCAATATAAAGTCATTCTGTTCAGTAGTTTCTGAGAAAAGTATTCCAAAAATATTTGTTTTATATTTCCAAGGGGCACAACGCTTTTTAAAATAATTGATCAGCACTGATTTTCAAACTTGACCGAGACAGCTGATATAAACCTATGATATAAGTTCTATAAAAATCTTGCAAGAATTTTACATGTGAGAGCACTAATGCTAATATTAACATATGATATAAGTTTTATTAAAATCTGGCAAGAAATGTACACGTGAGAGGGCTAACAAGACCTGTTGGACAGACGCACGAACGGAATGACGCACAAATTGATGGAAGGACAGAGGCACAGACGGACAGAGACATATGCCAGGTATTTCTATGTCCTCCTGCAATGCATTGTGCAGGGGATGATAACTTGAGTGAAAACTGGCAATATACAAGGATATCAAGTAATGAACACCAAACTTATACTATAATACTAGCATATATATGTATATATAAATATTTTAAACGAATTGAAATTAAATCCAACAGCATTTAAATATGATAATGAAATCTTGCATAATTGCTTTACAAAAAACTTTCATTCATAAAGATATGAACAGGCAGTTATAAGCAACTTTTAATTATGAATGAAATGTCAGAAAGGCATTTTTTATGGAGGATTATAGATGTTTCTTGTTTGTCAGAAAGAATCTTTTTCAAATAATTTGGAAATAAATAGAAACCTATCTTATATATTACTTCAACAGGAGCAGATGCAAGCAATTTGGATCATGTGGCCTACCTTGCACTTGATATAAAGGACAGTTCATAAATAGAAGTAAAAAAATCCATCAATTATAGTAGCAACTGAATTTAACTTATAGAAAATTATGCAAAACAAAATTTCAATATATATTTTACATCTTTATCTCTGGATAAGATGATGCTGTCAACCATGTGTGAACAGTTTTATATTATAAATATGGCTAATATCTAATTAAAAATTGCATGGTTAATTTGGCCAATCAAACCCATCCTTAATTTAGCTATTGACTTGTGCATATATTTACGAGTTTCTGGAAGATTTATAGCAATGAATTGTTAAATAATGGAAATGAGTAAATCATATTGATTTCTGTTAATTTGTAGAAAAACATGCAAATGTGAAAATGGACATAACTGTAATGATAACTTCTGTGTTACATTATTTTATTTGAATTTCAAAATATACAAAATATAGGTTATCTGTTTATCTGAAATATTCTACTTTATATGAAATTCTATAGTGTACGTCACACAGAAGACAAAATAATGTGGCAGCGTGCAAAAAATAAGGATGTGAATGAGTGTTATCCGGCACCACCACGAGGAGGGTCTACAGATAAAGCATTTTAAGAAGCACTAGCTCACACAATTCTTTACATGCAGACTTAACCATGCACTGTGAAACCTGGCCTTGGTAAAAGCAAACTTCCAAGAAAAAGTTTTTTAGATAATAAAATGAAAATGTTTCAATTTTATAAGAAAATCAACATATTTAATGTGAAATGTATCATTAAATTCTTTTAAGCCAAGTTTCTCATGAAGCAAAAGTTGAGGTTACTTGTTTCCTAATTTAAATTGTATGTGAACTTAATAAAAAATTAGACTTGTGTTAAAAAAAGGACAGCAGAAAAAATTTCATGAACCTCAAATTTTACTTGGTGCCATCTGATATAATAAAACAGTGACATTTATACATACAGCATTTATAAATAATAAAATTTCTTACCTTTTAGTTCAGTCATGATGCTTCCTTCATAGTTAGACTCAAACCGAATTCAGCACGTTGTCAACAAATAAAACAAAATTCTCAGAGAGCAAGGAAAAGGGATCATTGTTAACACTTCACACTATATATCATTCAAATAATTTTGACATGACAAAAAGGTATATGTCTGTTTTACCATTTACAAGATTTTTTACATTTGGGTTGGGTGAAGCCCTGGCCTATAAATCATTCAAGCCATGTTGACATGACGAACAGCAATATATATGGTTTAGGGGTGGGGATCTCAAACATTAAGAAGATATAAGAACATTGGGGGTGGGGAAAACCCCTGGGGACTGACCCAATATATTATTCAAACCTTTTTGACATGACAAACAGGAAAATATATGGTTTAGGGGTGGGGATCTCGAGCATTTACAAGATATTAGAACATTGGGGGTGGGGGGAACCCCTTGGGACAGACCCTATATGTCATTCAAATGTTTGAGACATGACCAACAGGAATATATATATGGTTTAGGGGTAGGGATCTCGACCATTTACAAGATATTAGAACATTCCCAAATGGCAGGGGGTCGGGATGACCCATGGGGACTAACCCTGTATATCAATCAAACCATCTTTAATTGACAAACCAGAATATATATGGTTTAGGGGTGGGGCTCTTGACCGCTTACAAAGATATTAGAACTTTCTTAAATGGCAGGGGGTGGGGGTGGCCCCTGGGGACTAACCCCGTATTTCATTTGATGTGCTTTATAATGACAAACCAGAATATATATGGTTTAGGGGTGGGGATCTCGACCACTTACAAGATATTAGAACTTTTTTAAATGGCAGGGGGTGGGGGTGACCCCTGGGGACTAACCCCGTATTTCATTTGATGTGCTTTATAATGACAAACCAGAATATATATGGTTTAGGGGTGGGGATCTCGACCATTTACAAGATATTAGAACTTTTTTAAATGGCAGGGGGTGGGGGTGACCCCTGGGGACTCACCCTGTATTTCATTTGATGTGCTTTATAATGACAAACCAGAATATATATGGTTTAGGGGTGGGGATCTTGACCGGTTACAAGATATTAGATCTTTTTTAAATGGCAGGGGGTGGGGGTGGCCCCTGGGGACTAACCCTGTATTTCATTTGATGTGCTTTATAATGAAAAACCAGAATATATATGGTTTAGGGGTGGGGATCTCGACCGCTTACAAGATATTAGAACTTTTTTAAATGGCAGGGGGTGGGGGTGGCCCCTGGGGATTATCCTTGTATTTCATTTGATGTGCTTTATAATGACAAACCAGAATATATATGGTTTAGGGGTGGGGATCTCGATCGCTTACAAGATATTAGACTTTTTTTAAATGGCAGGGGGTGGGGGTGACCCCTGGGGACTCACCCTGTATTTCATTTGATGTGCTTTATAATGACAAACCAGAATATATATGGTTTAGGGGTGGGGATCTCGACCACTGACAAGATATTAGAACTTTCTTAAATGGCAGGGGGTGGGGGTGACCCCTTGGGACTAACCCTGTATTTCATTTGATGTGCTTTATAATGACAAACCAGAATATATATGGTTTAGGGGTGGGGATCTCGACCGCTTACAAGATATTAGACTTTTTTTAAATGGCAGGGGGTGGGGGTGACCCCTGGGGACTAACCCTGTATTTCATTTGATGTGCTTTATAATGACAAACCAGAATGTATATGGTTTAGGGGTGGGGATCTCGACCACTGACAAGATATTAGAACTTTCTTAAATGGCAGGGGGTGGGGGTGACCCCTGGGGACTAACCCTCTATTTCATTTGATGTGCTTTATAATGGCAAACCAGAATATATATGGTTTAGGGGTGGGGATCTCGACCGCTTACAAGATATTAGACTTTTTTTAAATGGCAGGGGGTGGGGGTGACCCCTGGGGACTCACCCTGTATTTCATTTGATGTGCTTTATAATGACAAACCAGAATATATATGGTTTAGGGGTGGGGATCTCGACCACTGACAAGATATTAGAACTTTCTTAAATGGCAGGGGGTGGGGTGACCCCTGGGGACTAACCCTGTATTTCATTTGATGTGCTTTATAATGACAAACCAGAATATATATGGTTTAGGGGTGGGGATCTCGACCACTGACAAGATATTAGAACTTTCTTAAATGGCAGGGGGTGGTGGTGACCCCTGGGGACTAACCCTGTATTTCATTTAATGTGCTTTATCATTTAGAAGATTTTCAATTAAAAAGATTGTGTGTATTACAAACGGTTTCCAATTTATAATCATTTGAAAATTTTAAAAAATAAAATCCCATAGGGTTCTATAGTAAAACCCTCCTTTCTTTTTGCCCCTCAAAGTACCCCTTTATAAACCCCATTGCACAAACAAAACCCTGATTGCACCACTAGACATGTTAGTCTTACATATTGTAAAACCCTAAGTTAATCTGACAAGCGGTTTTGGAGAACGGGTGCGGACAAGTTCAAATTTAAAAGTGGCGGAAGAAGAAGAAGAAGAAGAAGAAGAAGAAGAAGAAGAAGAAGAAGAAGAAGAATAATAATAATAATAATAAGAACTGAGCAAAAACAATAAGTCTCCAAACTTTGTTTGGGAGACTTAATAAATATGTGGTAACTAGGTCTTGACTTAAATGAAGAATTGAATGCTTCTTTCTGTAATTTTATTACATGTAGGATGTAAAAGCTTCATGATACAAATTTCGGCACGTTCAACGCTTTTGCATTCCTATACAACTAAAAAAGAAGCATTCAATTCTTAGCTACAACCATGACATTACGATTTAAATCATGTTTTTCGTTTGTTTTTCTATGCATTGTTTGAATATTGTCACGGGGAGCACATGCAGTTGAAACAATGTTTTTATTAAACACCACGTGCTTGAATACGTGTATGAGCATCGACGCAGCCAGTCACATTGGGGAAGCCTGCTTTTTCAAAGAAACCATTTTTCGTTGCATAAACTTTTTCTGCCTACAGGGCCATTTTATGAACTGGTCCCTCTTTGCAATCAATGCGTCTGTAAACTAAGTTAAAACCTTTGACATAGTAGATTTGCCGTGGCCCATTGTGTCACCTATTACGTGGGGATTTGAACCACTGGCAAAAAAAAAACGAAGAGAAAACATCACCTGCTCCTCAACATTCACTGCTGTACACCTTGGAGTGATCTGTGAGCAAGTCTGAACTATACTCAATGCTCTCCCTTCGAAACCTAAATCTTTGGCACAACTGCTCATCTGAATAGTTCATTTAAAGGGGGTCTTGACCCCTAAAAACTCTTTCTTTTCGACTGTCAAGTCATGCTTTCTAGCTTTCAATTCAAAATTTAAAAGACGATTGTTACCCCTCAAAAACAATATTGTCAACATTTGGCTTTGCTGCGGTTGAAAAAGTTTTCTGTTCTAACACCATTTCAGTTATGTGTTATTAATGTAATGTCCCCTATGAAATACTGTCCTCTGCTAATCATGCCGGTTAACAAATCACTTAAATTCATTTTTAAAATGGAAGGAAGAAAAGAAAAAAAAAACCAGTATAAGAAAGCGCACTTTACTTATAATCAACTATAATATAGCGATTAGGATATACCTATTGTTGGTGTTAGTACAAAGTCGTGAGCCAAGAGTTGTCCCCATGCCATCATTTCTGCAGTCTTTCTCCTGTCGTAACTAGCTTCACCAGTATCATTGAACAGTTTATTACTGATCAATCGAGGGCTAGGTAGGTCATAATCACGTGGATAATCTATACCTGTGATTAAAATAAGACAGTGGTTACAAACAACCTTTTCCTCTAAGTCATGTTTTCATAAATCAAAACGCTATACATTAAATAAAGTGTGTGTGCTTATTGTTTAATGGAATTAAACGAAGTAATCTCGTGATAGGAACACAATATCATTAGCTTTTTCATTTGTTATGTATACAAAGAGTTTAAGTTGTAAAATTCTGAGAAAAAATATAGAAAAAATGATAGAAAAAAAAATTTTGCCACGTCTGTTTTCATGAAGCAGTTGTTTTTCACTTGTTCCGTTGATTGAAAGCGTTTGATTTTTTCAGTTTTTTTGGACTTCCCCCTTTTGAATTTGCCTTGGAGTTCAGTATGTTTGTTATACGTTTTTTCACGATCTATTCGTGAAATGCTGAATGTGAACAGCGATCATTTTACATATCTATCATACGCCCCCCCCCCCCCCAATCAACAAGATATTTTTAGACAGGTATAAATATTGGCTGATGTGTGTATGACTTGCTCCACTCAAGGTACTGGGTATACCTCCCATCAACATATTGGTCAGGTATAAATCTTGCCTGAGGTGTAAAGGACTTGTCCCACGCAGGGTACTGGGTATACCTATCATCCAGATATTGGACAGTTATAAATCTTGGCTGATGTGTAAATGACTTGCCCCACTCAGGGTACTGGGTATACGTACCATCTACATATTAGGCAGGTATGAATGTTGTCTGATGTGTATATGACTTGCCCCACTCCGGGTATTGGATATACGTACCATCTACATGATGATCAGGTATACATCTTGCCTGAGGTGTAAAGGATTTGTCCCACTCAGGTTACTGGGTATAAGTACCTTACACATAATGAGCAAGTATAGTTCTTGCTTCAGGTGAATTTGACTTGTCCCACTCAGGGTAATTTATATACGTACTATCCATATATTCAGCAGGTATAAATCTTGCCTGAGGTATATATGACTTGCCCCACTCATGGCACTGGGTATACGTACCATCCACATATCGAGCAGGTATACATCTTGTCTGAGATGTAAATGACTTGCCCCACTCAGGGTACTGGGTATACGTACCATACACATATTGCGCAGGTATACATCTTGACTGAGGTGTAAATGACTTGCCCCACTCAGAGTACTGGGTATACGTACTATACACATATTGAGCAGGTATAAATCTTAATTCAGGTGAATTTGACTTGTCCAACTCAGGGTAATTTGTATACGTATTATCCACGTATTTGGCAGGTATAAATCGTTCCTGGTGTGTAAATAACTTGTCCCAATCAGGGTACTGGGTATACGTACCATCCACATATTGATCAGATATAAATCTTGATTCAGGTGTAAATGACCTACCTCACTCAGGGTACTTCGTATACGTACCATCTTCATATTGAGCAAGTATACTTATGTCTAGTATATCGTGCTTGAGATGTAAATGATCTGCCCCACTCAGGGTACTTCGTATACGTACCATCTTCATATTGAGCAAGTATATTTATGTCTAGTATATCGTGCTTGAGATGAAATGACTTGCCACTCAGAGGACTGGGTTTACGTACCATCTTCATAATGAGCAGGTATAAATCGTTCCTGGGGTGTAAATGACTTGCCCCACTCAGGATAATTGATATTGTTACAAGATCCATCGGCAGATCGGTATGGGTAGTCTACGTCACAGGTGCCCGTGAAATTTCTACAGTCGACAAGACTGTGCCAGATCTCTAACAACTCCGGGTCATTCTGAAGTTCAGATAAACACATCCCAGTGCTACAAAGTAAAGACGTTAATATTTTTAGGAGAATGTATATTAACAAGGTTTGGATCGAAATCTGCGAAAAAATATCCTTGTTTCCGTATGGCATCATTGTAATGCATATCTCTATTTCTTCCACTTTTAACTATAAAATGTAATTAAATGTTCATACTTACACGTAAACATTATGAAATTTTGTACACAATAACTAGATAAACTGCTTAAATTGTATACTCAATAGAAATCAATTCAGATGCGTCAGAATGGTGCAAATACGATTTGTGAATATAAATTATTAACATATCGCATTAGTGGTAAACATGAAGAATAATTTATAACAAAAAATATATTTTATAACGAGTATATGTAAATATCAAAATATCTTCATCACTTATAAATTCCGATATTGCAACGCTTCCAATTTTTCATGTTCTGTTTACGCTATCACAGAACAATTGCAAGAGAACCCTGAAGTCTCCAAAGAGTGATCGATCTACATAAGGTCAATTGATTCCATTCTGTACAACAAAAAAAAACAATGTGAGCGAAACATCATCGAGATAGGAAAACATACACACCAAACTAGGTTTGATCAGATTTTTTTAATATTAGTTCATATACCTATCTGAAACAGTTCTTTTGTAATTCAAGGTACATTTTATCGCTAGATTCCCCTGACTTTTCCACAGCCAATTATGATTGAGAATCAGTATCTGTATGTTTCGTCATTTTTCTTATATTATTAAACAGGTTAAGTAATGATAACAATTTATATAGAAAATGCCTTTATCGGGTTGATCGACGATTCATTTTACTTCAATTAATTAACGTTTATATAGTCACATGCTCTGACGATGTTCTCCCGTTTTTTTACTGAAATAGAGATAATTTTGACTAACTTAGGATTAAGCAAGTTTATTTTTTCTAGTTTCTCACATTTCTTGTTTTTAATAGAAACGAAGTGTTATTCGGAATATGCTTTTTTCCATGTTTATTTCTTGTATTTGTTTGTAAAGAAAATTTCAAAGAAAACTAAGTTCATAAAGTTACATAATAACATTACTAACTATTGAAATTCTACATATGAGAAAAGGAAGACATTAAAGATATATAATTCTTTGGACGAAGTAGTTATTTTTGGAAGCTGTCGAATATATCAATTATCCCCTGGCCATTTTAGATGTGCCTCCATTTCTACTTTATCAGGACGTTTAGCAACCAACAATACATTCATCATTTCTACTTACTCTGTTTTAAGTTTCTTTGTGGCCTCTAAAGTGAGTATAGCTGCATACTCTAGTTCACTGGACTCTTTCTTTCTCCATCTCAGTAAATCAAACGAATGTTCCTCTATATCTAGGAGAAAATACAATACTAGTTATAGTAACAACTATCACTGGGCAAATCATTCTAAGCATGTATACCAAATATCAAAATATCAGAAGGCCGAGCAACTAAACAAACACATGTGTAAATACATGTAGTTTTAACGTTTGAAAGTATAGATCTTCCTATAAATCCATCTATCTATCTACTATCACATTTTGTACCAGTGCTAACTCGATCTCCAACAGACATATTTTCTGTTCATTAACTGTTTTAGTCATAAATGTCAGACTTATTTTTCCTCCCTGGCATAATCTTTGTGTTCTGGTGAGATGAAATATTGGATTTGTCTGGGATGTTTATAACAATAGTTAATGCATTAAATGTCCTGTGTGAATTTCATAAAAGTTGTATTTCACATCTAGCTTTTAACGATATTATTTTATCATACATATATGAAGGGATCAAGATGTTGATGGTATTATTTATTAAACTGAGTATTTTAGTTAAATATTTGAAATTGATCAACGCGTAATTCTTCGCAATATGTTATATGAATTTCGAATGTACTTAATGTACTTCTATAAAACTTGGTTAGTAGGCAGAGAGCTATATATACATACAATAGATTTTATCACTCCTAGAATTACATCAAATAAAATACGTGTAAATCTGATTAGTATCGGGTTGACGATCGTTTTGTAAATCATTTTGACATTTATGTACACAATGCTAATTATCTGATTTCAAATAAAAATAGCATTATACTTTTAATAAAATGGTAAAACTGCAAGATTGACAAAATTAAAAGCATGGCGTATATGGGGTCTTAAAAATCACGAATTGTCATAGGTTATAAGGGAATGTTTTGTATAATACTGGCCGTTCAATACTACGCAACAAGAATCATATAAATGATCAATATTGAAATTCCTCGTATTCAAGTTGCCGACTATGGGTAGAAAATTTAGCGGCTATGTGTTTTGTTTTATTAGATCAGCAAGTTTGATTTGTTTTAAATTGTTTATATCTTAATAGAACAAGGCGATGTGATTCGGTGAGATTATTTTACGTGAAAAGAAAGTCAGTTTTTCCTTACTAAGTTTTATTTATTTTCCTAACAAATAAAATACTAGAGACTGATTCCTATACAGGTTATATACGATTTGAAAACTGATTGATTGATTGAGTTTTGTTGTTTGGTTAATGTCCATTGGCAAATATTTTATGCATACAGGAAGAGGAAATAAATCCAATAAGCAGGTTCTGTAAAATTGGTCGACTGTGATGAAGGTCGGGATGTTTATGAAAATAAGAAGATGTGGTGTGATTACCAATGAGAAGTAACTAACAAAAAAGACACGAACACAGATTCGAACAACTTCAGTTTACCATACGGGTTTACACTTAAACAATAAACGAAAAAAAGAAAACATTTATGGCAGACAGCACCATCGACCAAGAATGTGAAGGGATTAAACAGGTTGTGAGCGCTAAACTCTCCTCGTAACCTAGGACAGTGGTGTAACTACATAACAGACGTCTTTACACGAAATCCATTGGATGTTGGATGTGTACTGCTTGATATTTTAGTCTTAGATACAGGATTTTCTTATTAGTTGTTGTTGGCTTTGAACTAGCTGTCAGTAACTTTGTGTAGTTTTGTGTTTAAAGGGCTGTATAAATATACTACCACGTATGGTCTGTGCTTTTGTTAGATGTTTTTCTGCTTTGTATCGATCTGAAGAGTTAAGCCATTTTCAACTGATTTTTATAGTTTGTTCTTATGTTGTACTGTTACACCACTATCCTAGGTAAGGGGGAGTGTTGGCGCCTTCAAACATGTTTAACCCCGCCACATGCTTTATGTGTCTGTCCCAAGTCAGGAGCCTGTAGTTCAGTGGTTGTCGTTGATTCATGCCTGTCAGATTTGTTTTTCGTAAATAGTTTTGTTATAAATCAGGCCGTTAGTTTTTCTCAATTAAATTGTTTTGTATTTTTCATGTCGGGCCTTTTATAGCCGACTATACGGTATGGGTTTTTCTCATTGTTGAAGGCCATACGGTTGCCTATAATTGCTTACATCCACTTCATTTGAACTTCGGTGGATAGTTGTCTCATTGGTAATCATACCGCATATCCTTATTTCTATATAAAATATCAATTGGGAAAAGTGCTTTCACCCCACGAACGTTTTACGGACGCCATTATAATTTGGTTGACAGGTATGGAATATCGTAGTCAGAGATGACAACGGAGATGTTCAAGCTGTAGCCGCTACAATCTTGTCCTTGTTTCTTCGATTTTGACATTACCAATAGGAAAAAACCCTAATATGTACTTGAAATGAGAAACACGATGGGTGCCAATAGTGAGACAGCAACTGCCTAACATTAGTTCCCCTCCATTTGTTTGTAGGGTTTGTGTTCATAAATCTTTATTTTTTTATCCTTTCGTCATTTTCATCTGTGTCGCCAACGTTTAATAACTGCTCGACTCCGTCCATCCGTCCTTACGAAAGACCTTGGATAGAAAACTTTCGTCAAACTTGTCTTGACTTCTATGGAAGCGAATTATTTTATGCAGCCACTTCCTGTTTGCCGATAGATTGAAAGTTTACAACCCTTATTGTAAACGGAAAATTTGAAGATTTTTATCCTAAAACATGACACCAATCTAGTCCTATAGAACATAATTTTGGTAATCATCTTCCTCAGTTATGATTTAGAACACACGTCACCTCAATCAATTGCATGCAGGTGACGCAGGTACAGACCCCGTATTGGTCTTGTCCTTTTTGTTCATGGTATTGTCTGTTTTTCGTCGACTCATGGTTTCTGATTGCCCTCTTGTTATCTTCTTTCTATTTGTTTTCTTCAGAACTGTGCTGGACATATCTATTTACGGTTTGCTTCACTGGTCTATGTGAGGTATTTTACTACAGAGATTTTTTGCTGCACAATGTACCGTGGCTTGCATTTACTATAAATATGTATGTGTATGTTTTTGCTGTAGTAACTAGGTAATCTAGTTTGATTTAAATATCAAGGGTTATTTGATAGTGTTTTCTATACTGTGGTATATGGCTAGTTTTGCTACGGTGGATTATGTGATAGTGTTTTCTTACAGTGGTATGTGGCGTTGTTTGCTGATTATGAATGAAATTTTAATATTATCTTATGAGGATAAAAAGAAAACCCGAGGTTATGTACCAAATCGTGCAATATACATAGTTGTTATTCTAAATATACTATAAATGTTGTAAACAATCCTTAAATGTCAATGATATTTCGGATGAAAGCACATATTATAATTCAACAATTAACGAATTTAACAAGAATTTAATTTTAGCTATACGGATAAAAAAAAATTCAAGAACTTGTCAAATAACCTCTAGCTATTTACAGTGTATAAATCATGTATATTTGTGTTTATCAAACCACCCGAACTGAGATTGAAATACAACTAAAATCATATGTAATTGTTCAGCAAGTGATACGCGTAAACTATTGTTGCATCTGATTCTCGGCCTCTAGTAAGTGTTCTACAACTAATATTTCAGTGCTTTTAAATAGTTCCTTAATACTATCAACGACCTTATCTTTAACTTCGTAATAAAGCATATGCAAATGGTAGTATTAACTTTTTTCGGAGTATAAAATATTCTTTGGGTGTTTTAAATAAATCACGTGCTTTTGATGGTCCTTTTAATTCGGTTAACAGTTTTGACTTTTCAACTCTTATTTGCTGCAACTCAACTTATATAAAGCCTTCTTCTCTAATGAGAAAGGTTAATATGGTAGATATACTTACTGGAGGTGCCATGAAATGATCAAAGCTGCACATTTACTCCTTAACAACATTAATGTACGTTTCGGGAATAAAGTTTAATAGCAGACTTGTTCCTGTTCTGTTATGAATCACAGTTTATGGCCCGTCTAAATTCCATTTAGTTGACAAATTCAACAACACTTACCGTTATCGTGATAATATTTTTTCGTTAAATAATCCAGAATTCTCTAAACACTGTGTCTAAACTACCCCGGCAAAAAATGTTTGGACTCGATAGTATCTAATGTCCGGTACGGTGACGAACAATCAACAGACAGAGAAAAGGTAGAATTTCTGTTTATTTATTTGTTATTTAATGACATTGAAGAATAAACATACACATATAACTATTTTCGATTGTGTGATGTAATATTTTCTACAACCGTTCTAGATTAATGGAGAAATAAGTAAAAAGGCACACGAAAATGGTGAATTGAGTGAACATTGCTACGAATTTGTTTAATTTCTCTTTAAATTGTGCACATTGCACGGAAAGAAAAGTACGGAAAGAAAGATATTAACACAGAGATTGCATGGCTAGTCACTATGAGCACCTCAATATTTGCATTTCTATGCATGGAACGAAATAAATGGGTCATGTCAAAATGGAAGGACCCTGTTTCGTCAATGTTGTTTATTACACAAGGACCCTGTTTTGTCTCAGTATAGGACCCGGTTTTGTTTTGTTTTGAAACCACAAATTTATGAAAAGCTACGTTAGCACGGATCTGGACATTGCCCATCGGAAGAAATTAAATATTTGAGTCAAAAAGATGTTATAAAGATGTTATTGCAATACAAACATGTGTTAAAATATATTTCAAACGGGAACTTTTCGTAATAGGGAGTAGACATTTTTGAATGCTATACGTATACCTTATTGATCTTATCTTCGAACTTAGTTTAAATGGAAATAATTACTTTATATCATGTACTTACATTAATTTTTTATGATAGAAAAAAAGAAGATGTGGTGTGATTGCCAATGAGACAGCTCGTCACAAGAGATCAAATGACACAGAAATTAACAACTATAGGTCGCCGTACGGCCTTCAACAATGAACAAAGCTCATACAACATAGTCAGCAATAAAGGCCCCCAAATGACAAGTGTAAAACAATTCAAACGAGGAAACTAACGGCCTAATTTATGTACAAAATAATGAACGAAAAACAAATATGTAACACAGCAACAAACGACAACCACTGAAATACAGGCTCCTGGCTTGGGACAGGTAAATATATACAGAATGGGGCGGGGTTAAACATCTTAGCGGGATCCCAACCCTCCCCCTAACCTAGGAAATTGGTGTAACAGTACAACATAAGAACGAACTAATAAAATCAGTTGAAAAAGGCTTAAGTCATCAGATGGATACAAATAGAAATACATCTCAAAAATGTTTGTTAGTTTTCTATACTACTGTAATGATGTAAAAATAAGAAGATGTGGAATGATTGTGTTACCATATCAATTTATCAAAAGAGTAAGGATAGTATGCTTTACTACACTATACGCTATGTTTACAAAATATTTACTCATTCGTTCATCCATTGACGGACAGTGAGAGAAAAAGCTCCGTTTTGAAGGCCGTACTTTGACCTATAATGGTTTACTTTTACAAATTGTGACTTGGATGGAGAGTTGTCTCATTGGCACTCATACCACATCTTCTTATATCTATTAGAACGTTTTGGATATCTCAATCAAAATGGTTGCCTTTCGAACGTGTATTTTATGTCCGCTTCGAAATACACAAGTTCTAAACTTCCCCATTAGAAACAAAATAATTCTATCATGCCATGCTCTACGCTCATTTTAACATAGGTAGACATTATATTTGTCAATATTTTATACCTGGCTAACGCTTGGTTTAAAAATTTTAACAAATATAATGCCTTCCTATGTTTAAATGAGCATTGAGCATGGCATGAAAGGATTATTTCTTTTTATAAATAAAAGTTGGTTTGCAACATTATAACGTCCAATATCTTCGTCTTCGTCTTCGTAGAACAACCTAATAGGCAATTTAGCCCGTGAAAAATGACATTGAGACAACTTTCCATCAGAGACCAAATGACGTATAAGTTAACAAATATAGAACACCGTATGGCATCCAACAATGAGAAAGGTCCATACGGCATAGTAAGCTAAAAAAGGCCCCGAAATGAAAACTGTAAAAAAAAACTAATGTGGAAACTAACGACCTAGATTTATGTACAAAATAAAAAACGAAAAACAAATACATGTATGATATATAGCAACAAAAGACAACAACCGATTTACAGGCTCCTTCGGTACTGGTACATACAGAATGGCGAGGTTGAACGTGTAAGCCCCCCCCCCCCCCCCACGCTCCCCCTCAAGAAAAAAAAAGTGGTATAACAGCACAACATATGAACAAACTATAAAATTCATTGAGTTGAAAAAGGCTTAACTCATTTGATTACAGAGCCCCTATAGTAAATATGGGATTGGCGGCTGTCTCTGTTTTTTTCGTCTTTTTTTAAATTTTATGATGGTATACGATATAGTTACATTATATCAGTGGCGGATCCAGGGGAGTAGAGGGAGTACGCCGACCCCCCCCTTTTTGGTGGCTAGAAATAATTATTTTATCATGTTTTTTAGGATTTAAATATGATTTTTTATTTAGCATTAAATCGTTAAAAAAAGTTCCCCTTGCTACGCTCGGCGGTATAAAATCCGTTTATGAATACGTCCCTTTCAAAAATCATGGCCTCGGTCCGCCCTTGCATATTGACAATTTTAAACTTGACCAAATTGCTTAAATTGTAGAACATTTGTAAATGTACGATAATCATTATACAATGAAGAGATAAACCTATATATAATAGTTGTATTATATAGGGCAGTTGTTAACAACTTGATACTAGTGCATTAAAGAATTTGTTAATGCTAAAAAAAAGAAAAAAAGAAAAAAAAAGAGAGATGAAACATCGTTTATTTATATAAATTACTAATCAAATAATCATTATTGCAATTTCCGGATGGCCTAAGACTTTTATACTAATTTATACTTAGTATTATTATAACAAGGGGTAAACAGATTTTTAACGCACTATTATTGTGATCCTTTGCGCCGCATGGAAATTCCTTTTCTTGGGCGATTCTGCATGCACATACATTTGTCTTATTCTCTTGCATTATAATGGACGTTTAGTTTCAGAATATTTATTTTCAAACGATTATACTGTCTTCCCTTTAAGTAGAGCGGAACACTAAGATAACCATCTTGTTGTCCCAAAAAATCACATATCAAATGTGTCCTTAAATTTTCAAGGCCGTACCCTAATTAAGTTTGAACACTTAAATTTACATAGATGATATAAAAAAAAATCTAATTCCGTTTCAAAACCTTCATTTCTTTTTAATTTTTCCTTTTTTTTTTTATACAAAACAAAATTGAAATTTGCTTTGTTCTAATATAGCAGGAGTTCAAGTGTTTACGGATTCAAAAAGGTTATAAGTTATCCTCTGAAAGAAAATGTTTTTCAACGATCCCTCAAACTGCTGTTGAACGCCATATTTTAATTTTCGTCATGCGATTATGCATTATTTTCTATGACAAAACCGGGTCTGCTTTGTGAAATATAAGGACAAAACCGGGTCGTACACATTGACAAAACCGGGTTCTTCAATTTTGACATGACCCACTTCTTTCATTCCATGCACAGACATGCAAATATTGAGGCGATCATAGTGAAAAGTCTTGAAATCTCCGTGTTAATATCTTTCTTTCCGTACCTTTCTTTCCGTACAATGTGCTCAATTTAAAGAGAAATTAAACAAATTCGAGGCAGGGTTCACTCAATTCACCATTTTGATGTGCATTTTTACTTATTTCTCCATAAATCTAGAACGGTGGTAGAAAATATTACATCACACTATCGAAAATAGTTATATGTGTATGTATATTCTTCAATATCATTAAAACAACAAATAAATAAACAGAATTTCTACATTTCTCTGTCTGTTGATTGTTCGTCACCGTACCGGACATTAGATACTATTGAGTCCAAACATTTTTCGCCGGGGTAGTTTAGATACAGTGCTAAATATACTGCCGAAATTTATCCAAAGGAACTTACTTTAAATAAATCAAATATAAACAGCAATGACTGTCCTTTCCTAGATTTACTTATTTTAGTTTTACAAGGAAAAAAAGGATGATTTTTGTTCCCTATTGTTAATTGATAAAAGTCCCCGTTGGAATCGCATGTACTCCAAAAGAAGCGAGACCTAATGCCTCGACAGCGGAAGAGTATCTTTATTATGAATGGATCTCTCGTGGATAATACTAGTAACATGATTCTGGATAAATCTTCATCAGGTACGCAAGAGACCAAACTTCTAGTATATGGAAGCCAAAACAGAGATACCAAGATTTAGTTTTCTTTTAAGCAATGTTATAACAAAAATATATATGTCACCCGAGCTTGGTTTCAATATACAGCTTGTGCATTTAGCGATGCTTTAAAAAAAATTGTGTGCAATGAAAGAAAACAACCCCAAAATATCGGTTTTCAAAAATGAAATGCATGACTGTGTATTGCACAACTAAAGTTTGCTTATGTTAGTAAAATGCTTTTCCGAGATTCAAAATGGCTGACTTGCGCAAGTTTTATCAAGTTCAAGCTTCTCCGAGTAGAATTTTTTATTTAGGTGTTTTGAAATTCTAGAAAGAAATGTTTGTCGTTACAGAATGCCAGGAAGGTTTATCCTTTAAGTAACATTAAACATTATTTTCCGTTAGCAATCTACGTGTCATGTGATTAACATTGCACATAATAATAATTTCTTTTTTTTTAATTAAAAACGAACCTTCTCCTTCCTGATTTTTCTTTTTAAAGTTTGTTAATTGTTCTTTGCCATATTCGGTACAATCTTTTACCAGTTGTTTATGTGTCTTCCGTTTTGTAAACCTTGCTGTTGACAAGACAAGCAAGGCAACCAGTATCCACAATACATTCAGTTGCATCTTCAAATGCCTAAAATAATTATTTCACATTAGTTTATGTCTGAAGATTTTTTTTAAATATAACAAGTTTATTTAAATATATTTTGTAAAGTAATTAAACAGTCTTTGTTATATCGAATTGACATATATCTGTTAAAGCATCCTGCTGCAAGCACGCTGAAGGTACAAAGCTAATCATGATACATATCTATAGATTGTTGAATTTGATTTATTTGTCAAGATGATTTTAACATGATTATTATCATTACTACCCTAAAAAAGAAAAAAATGAACAGAGAAAGACAAATGTATCAATCAACGTACCTTTTCACTGAAACCAAATGGATAAATATATTAGATATTTAATTAAAAATACTTAAATATCAATTGTAATTGCTTCGGGGAAAATGGTCGTCAAACCATATCTGAATGGTACGATATATATATAAAATTGAATGAATTGTCTTTTAAATATTTTTAATCCATTAGACTTGATCCAAAGCAAATCAAATTATGGAGACAATCCTACGTCATAACAAGAACAATTATTTTAAAATTCTTATACATCTTACTCACTTTGTATTAAATTGATCAGTAGCTTTTAAAGAAATTTCGTCATTAGAATAACACTGTTTACGTATATCTATCGATTTTCTTAATGTGTTTTCTATCTATTAAACTTATATTTCGTGATTTTACCAAAAGTTCGAATGTGTTAAAGTAAATACATTCTTCAAAATCTAACTACATAACACATAAAATAAATGAAATAATAAAAATTTAAAAAATAGGTAAACAAAGAAAGAAAAACAAGTTGGTCCAAATTATATGCCATGCCTTCGTATATTTGTTCCTTTTATTAATGATCACACTTGATCGATCTTACAAGGGGTTACGATTCTCTCTTCATTTGCTATGGTCGTGTTGTTTGTCATAGCTTTTTGCTTTATTGATCATCACGTTTAGTTTATCCTACACTGTTTATTTGTAGTTGTCATGTTATTTGTTAAAGCTTTTTGCTTTATTGATCCCCACGTTTAGTTTATCTTACAGCGGTTATAGTTCTCTGTTTATTTGTAGTTGTCATGTTGTTTGTCATAGCTTTTTGCTTTATTGATCGTCACGTTTAGTTTATTTAACAGGGGTTATAGTTCTCTGTTTATTTGTAGTTGTCATGTTGTTTGTTAAAGCTTTATGCTTTATTGATCGTCACGTTTAGTTTATCCAACAGGGGTTATAGTTCTCTGTTTATTTGTAGATGTCATGTTATTTGTTAAAGCTTTTTGCTTTATTGGTCATCACGTTTAGATGATCGTACAGGGGTTATAGTTCTCTGTTTATTTGAAGATGTCATGTTATTTGTTAAAGCTTTTTGCTTTATTGATCATCACGTTTAGATGATCGTACAGGGGTTATAGTTCTCTGTTTATTTGTAGATGTCATGTTATTTGTTAAAGCTTTTTGCTTTATTGGTCATCACGTTTAGATGATCGTACAGGGGTTATAGTTCTCTGTTTATTTGAAGATGTTATGTTATTTGTTAAAGCTTTTTGCTTTATTGATCATCACGTTTAGATGATCGTACAGGGGTTATAGTTCTCTGTTTATTTGTAGATGTCATGTTATTTGTTAAAGCTTTTTGCTTTATTGATCATCACGTTTAGATGATCGTACAGGGGTTATAGTTCTCTGTTTATTTGTAGATGTCATGTTATTTGTTAAAGCTTTTTGCTTTATTGATCATCACGTTTAGATGATCGTACAGGGGTTATAGTTCTCTGTTTATTTGTAGATGTCATGTTATTTGTTAAAGCTTTTTGCGTTATTGATCATCACGTTTAGATGATCGTACAGGGGTTATAGTTCTCTGTTTATTTGTAGATGTCATGTTATTTGTTAAAGCTTTTTGCTTTATTGATCATCACGTTTAGATGATCGTATAGCGGTTATAGTTCTCTGTTTATTTGTAGATGTCATGTTATTTGCTTTATTGATCATCACGTTTAGATGATCGTACAGGGGTTATAGTTCTCTGTTTATTTGTAGATGTCATGTTATTTGTTAAAGCTTTTTGCTTTATTGATCATCACGTTTAGATGATCGTACAGGGGTTATAGTTCTCTGTTTATTTGTAGATATCATGTTATTTGTTAAAGCTTTTTGCTTTATTGGTCATCACGTTTAGATGATCGTACAGGGGTTATAGTTCTCTGTTTATTTGTAGATGTCATGTTATTTGTTAAAGCTTTTCGCTTTATTGATTATCACGTTTAGATGATCGTACAGGGGTTATAGTTCTCTGTTTATTTGTAGATGTCATGTTATTTGTTAAAGCTTTTTGCTTTATTGATCGTCACGTTTAGATGATCGTACAGGGCTTATAGTTCTCTGTTTATTTGTAGATGTCATGTTATTTGTTAAAGCTTTTTGCTTTATTGATCATCACGTTTAGATGATCGTACAGGGGTTATAGTTCTCTGTTTATTTGTAGATGTCATGTTTTTTGTTAAAGCTTTTTGCTTTATTGATCATCACGTTTAGATGATCGTACAGGGATTATAGTTCTCTGTTTATTTGTAGATGTCATGTTTTTTGTTAAAGCTTTTTGCTTTATTGATCATCACGTTTAGATGATCGTACAGGGGTTATAGTTCTCTGTTTATTTGTAGATGTCATGTTATTTGTTAAAGCTTTTTGTTTTATTGATCATCACGTTTAGATGATCGTACAGGAGTTATAGTTCTCTGTTTATTTGTAGATGTCATATTATTTGTTAAAGCTTTTTGCTTTATTGATCATCACGTTTAGTTGGTCGTACAGGGGTTATAGTTCTCTGTTTATTTGTAGATGTCATGTTATTTGTTAAAGCTTTTTGCATTATTGATCACGTTTAGATGATCGTACAGGGATTATAGTTCTCTGTTTATTTGTAGATGTCATGTTTTTTGTTAAAGCTTTTTGTTTTATTGATCATCACGTTTAGATGATCGTACAGGGATTATAGTTCTCTGTTTATTTGTAGATGTCATGTTTTTTGTTAAAGCTTTTTGCTTTATTGATCATCACGTTTAGATGATCGTACAGGGGTTATAGTTCTCTGTTAGATGTCATGTTTTTTGTTAAAGCTTTTTGTTTTATTGATCATCACGTTTAGATGATCGTACAGGGATTATAGTTCTCTGTTTATTTGTAGATGTCATGTTATTTGTTAAAGCTTTTTGCTTTATTGATCATCACGTTTAGATGATCGTACAGGGGTTATAGTTCTCTGTTTATTTGTAGATGTCATGTTATTTGTTAAAGCTTTTTGCTTTATTGATCATCACGTTTAGATGATCGTATAGCGGTTATAGTTCTCTGTTTATTTGTAGATGTCATGTTATTTGCTTTATTGATCATCACGTTTAGATGATCGTACAGGGGTTATAGTTCTCTGTTTATTTGTAGATGTCATGTTATTTGTTAAAGCTTTTTGCTTTATTGATCATCACGTTTAGATGATCGTACAGGGGTTATAGTTCTCTGTTTATTTGTAGATATCATGTTATTTGTTAAAGCTTTTTGCTTTATTGGTCATCACGTTTAGATGATCGTACAGGGGTTATAGTTCTCTGTTTATTTGTAGATGTCATGTTATTTGTTAAAGCTTTTTGCTTTATTGATCATCACGTTTAGATGATCGTACAGGGGTTATAGTTCTCTGTTTATTTGTAGATATCATGTTATTTGTTAAAGCTTTTTGCTTTATTGATCATCACGTTTAGATGATCGTACAGGGGTTATAGTTCTCTGTTTATTTGTAGATGTCATGTTATTTGTTAAAGCTTTTTGCTTTATTGATCATCACGTTTAGATGATCGTACAGGGGTTATAGTTCTCTGTTTATTTGTAGATGTCATGTTATTTGTTAAAGCTTTTCGCTTTATTGATTATCACGTTTAGATGATCGTACAGGGGTTATAGTTCTCTGTTTATTTGTAGATGTCATGTTATTTGTTAAAGCTTTTTGCTTTATTGATCGTCACGTTTAGATGATCGTACAGGGCTTATAGTTCTCTGTTTATTTGTAGATGTCATGTTATTTGTTAAAGCTTTTTGCTTTATTGATCATCACGTTTAGATGATCGTACAGGGGTTATAGTTCTCTGTTTATTTGTAGATGTCATGTTTTTTGTTAAAGCTTTTTGCTTTATTGATCATCACGTTTAGATGATCGTACAGGGATTATAGTTCTCTGTTTATTTGTAGATGTCATGTTTTTTGTTAAAGCTTTTTGCTTTATTGATCATCACGTTTAGATGATCGTACAGGGGTTATAGTTCTCTGTTTATTTGTAGATGTCATGTTATTTGTTAAAGCTTTTTGTTTTATTGATCATCACGTTTAGATGATCGTACAGGAGTTATAGTTCTCTGTTTATTTGTAGATGTCATATTATTTGTTAAAGCTTTTTGCTTTATTGATCATCACGTTTAGTTGGTCGTACAGAGGTTATAGTTCTCTGTTTATTTGTAGATGTCATGTTATTTGTTAAAGCTTTTTGCATTATTGATCACGTTTAGATGATCGTACAGGGATTATAGTTCTCTGTTTATTTGTAGATGTCATGTTTTTTGTTAAAGCTTTTTGTTTTATTGATCATCACGTTTAGATGATCGTACAGGGATTATAGTTCTCTGTTTATTTGTAGATGTCATGTTTTTTGTTAAAGCTTTTTGCTTTATTGATCATCACGTTTAGATGATCGTACAGGGGTTATAGTTCTCTGTTAGATGTCATGTTTTTTGTTAAAGCTTTTTGTTTTATTGATCATCACGTTTAGATGATCGTACAGGGATTATAGTTCTCTGTTTATTTGTAGATGTCATGTTATTTGTTAAAGCTTTTTTGCTTTATTGATCATCACGTTTAGATGATCGTACAGGAGTTATAGTTCTCTGTTTATTTGTAGATGTCATATTATTTGTTAAAGCTTTTTGCTTTATTGATCATCACGTTTAGTTGGTCGTACAGGGGTTATAGTTCTCTGTTTATTTGTAGATGTCATGTTATTTGTTAAAGCTTTTTGCATTATTGATCACGTTTAGATGATCGTACAGGGATTATAGTTCTCTGTTTATTTGTAGATGTCATGTTTTTTGTTAAAGCTTTTTGTTTTATTGATCATCACGTTTAGATGATCGTACAGGGATTATAGTTCTCTGTTTATTTGTAGATGTCATGTTATTTGTTAAAGCTTTTTGCTTTATTGATCATCACGTTTAGATGATCGTACAGGGATTATAGTTCTCTGTTTATTTGTAGATGTCATGTTATTTGTTAAAGCTTTTTGCTTTATTGATCATCACGTTTAGATGATCGTACAGGGATTATAGTTCTCTGTTTATTTGTAGATGTCATGTTATTTGTTAAAGCTTTTTGCTTTATTGATCATCACGTTTAGATGATCGTACAGGGGTTATAGTTCTCTCTTTATTTCTTTCTGTCGTGGTTTTGTTACTTGTCCTTTCATTGATCACCTCGTCGTTTTGTTTATCATATGGGTCTTTATTTATTTGCCATGTTCGTGCTTTTTTTTTTTTACTTTTCCTGTCATTGATTACCACGTTTCGTTTCTAACTGACACACAACCCACAATCTACTTTGATTAAATCATTTATAAATCTGTTATTTTATTTTTGATTTGGATTTTTGTTTGTTGATTTTTAGAATTTAAAAATATCCGAACTGATTAACGAAGGGTCAGTATATAAAACAGATGATAAACCATTTAAATCTTTTAACATGATTTATATTGTTATCATAATGATTTTAGAAAGCTACGTATGTTATTTAATATTTTATTTCTAGAAGACAATTACTCGTGTAAACACCGGAATTTTATCAGAATACTTAAATAGATATTTATGTATGTATTTAGTACTCCGACGGTGTCGTTTATTTAGACGGGATGGACTACTGAAAATTGAAATAGTATTTGAATATTCTCAGTAAAATACAAGATGACGCTGTGTCCGTCATATTATATATAGACTAACTTTTTTAATTCTGGACTTCTTCATTTAAAATCTCCCAAGTAGGTAGCATGACCGACACACATCCTCAAGAACAAATCCACTCATCAAAATATATAACGTTGGAAAATCTATAACTTGATTAGTGTTGAATGACGTCAATTTATTTGTTATAATTTCCAAGAAACAAATTTACACAACACAATTATTGCTAACTTGTAAGTTACACAAAAACTTATCTATTCCAGAAAATATAACCTGACCGATAGAACTTAAAATTGGTTTCATGACCATATCATCAAGCATGGTAAGACAGACATACGATCCGTGTGCACGTGTTTATCCTTTAAATTAACTTATTTGGTTTTCGTTTATTTTTTGTACATTAATCAGGCCGTTGGTTTTCTCGTTTGAATTATTTTTCATGAGGTGTTTTATAGCTTGCTTTGTGGTATGGGTTTTGCTCATTGTTGAAGGTTGTAAGGCTGTCATGTCTCCGTCGGTACTAAAATAGATTTTGTTTTTAATATATCAAAATAGAACTAAATATGTACGGCTATACAATTATGTACACTTTTGGTCCTACATCCTATCGATACTTATATTTTGGCATTGCACAAGGCCATGCTTTTCTGAGAACTCAGAACGTTAATGAAGTCTTAATCGATTGGAAAAAAAAATTAGTGTGTGAAAATATGGTTTATTGGATAGTTGGAATTGGCTTTGAACTAGCATCCACTGACCCCGAATATTCTTAGATCAATTTCTAATAAGTTTTCTACAACTTATCTTTCTATCCTTTTAAATAGTTCCCGGAGTGGTTGCTGTGTACATATATCTGTTCTTACTGGTATGTACCATTGTGTGTCTGCTGTTTTTTATTTGTCTCATATGCATTTTGCCCGCGGTATTTTAATCCTCTGACCTCCCTATTTTTACTAAGTCACATAGATGGTTCAATAATATGTGAAAAATATCTTAATACAATGTGGAGCTCTTTCTAGAAATGGGTTAGAATATGCATGGTTCATGCTGTGATGAAATATGCCCTAACGAACAGAAGTGTGCTTGCCCTAAAACTACTTCAGGAATTGCTTATGTAAAGCTGGTATATATCATAAGGAAAAAAATGCTTCGCTGAGCGCAGCCTGATACGACCGCAGAGGTCGAACCCTGAACAGTTTAGGCAAATTTGGACACAATATTCAAGCTTGATACTGTCTGAATTTGGATTGTGATCAAATTTTTGACATAATATAGGTTTCTGACACAAAATAAATGGGGTCAAAGATCTTACAAACTATTGCGCAATACTGTGCAATTGAAGATTTCTTCTTGAAACTTTTCAAAAATTCGAAATTTGAAAAATTTTGAAAAAAAAATATGAATCCCTTATAAAAATTGGAAAAAAAATCCCCCCCCCCCACACTTTTTGAAACCCCCCTTGGAGCAATAACCCCAAAACTCAATCCCAGCCTTTCCTTTGTAGTATGGAACATTGTAGTACAATTTCAGAGAGATCCATACACTTACACGCAAGTTATTGTCTGGAAACTAGAAAAATGCTTGTTTTTGCCCCTTTTTTGGCCCCTTATTCCTACATATTTTGGGGCAATTAACCCCAAACTCAATCACACCCTTCCCTTTGTTATATTGAACCTTGTGGTACAATGTCAGAGAGATCCATACACTTACACACAAGTTATTGTCTGGAAACTAGAAAAATGCTTGTTTTTGGCCCCTTTTTGGCCCTTAATTCCTAAACTGTTGGCCCCATAACCCCTAAATTGAATCCCAACCTTCTACTTGTAGAAATAAACATTGTGGTACAATTCAGAGCAATCGAAATACTTATACACAAGATATTATCCTGAAACTAGAAAAATGCTTGTTTTGGGCCCCTAATTCCTAAACGGTTGGGACCATCATCCCCAAAATCAATCCCAACCTTCCTTTTGTGGTATTGAACCTTTTTAAAAAATTTCATAGAGATCCATTTACTTAAACTAAAGTTATTGTCCGGAAACCTATGTGTCTTCGGACGACGACATCATACCATTATACGATCCCAAAAAAATGTTTGCGGTCGTATAAAAAAGCAATGCTTGCCCCGAAGTTTTTACAGCAAGAGGTTGTAGGTAAAGGCTGACTTGCATCCAAAGAGACAAAGACAGTGCTTGCCCAATACTAACTTAGCTAGATGTTGTAGGTAAAAGCTGGTATACATCCCAAGGAACAAATGCCGTGCTTGCTCAATACTATTTCAGCAAGAAGTTGTAGGTAAAGGCTGGTATGCATTCAAAGGAACAGAGGCAGTGTTTGTCCGAAAACTTTAGGAACATGTTCTAGGTAATAAAAGCTAGCATACATCCAAAGGAACTAAGTCAATTCTTGCTCAAAAACTATTTCCGGAAGAGTTTGATTGTAAAGGCTGACATACATTCCGGTTACACAGGCATTGATTGTTTTATAACTACTTCAGCAAAAGGTTGTTTATAATGGCTGACAAACATCCAAAAGAACAGACAGTGGATGCCCCAAAAAAACAACTTTAGCACGAAGTTGTAGATAAAAAACATCCCAAGGAACAGTAGTACTCGTCTCAAAACTACTTTGCAACAAAGCAGAATAACTTCATGTTGTGAGTAAAGGCTGCAATATGTCCCAATGAATAAAAGACAGTACTTGCCCCAAACTACTTCAGCAAGAAGTTGCACATTAAGACTAACAAACAATAGACAATTCTTGACCCAGAACAACTTCAGCAAAAGGTTGTAGGTAAAAGCTTTAAAACAACACCCGGAAAAGAGGCAATATTTGCCCTCAAACTACTACTAAAGGAAGAGGTTGTAAGTAAATAATGACATACATTCCAAGGAACAGAGGCAATGTTTGCCCTCAAACTACTACTAAAGGAAGAGGTTATAAGTAAATAATGACATAAATCCCAAGGAACAGAGGCAATGTTTGCCCTCAAACTACTACAAAAGGAAGAGGTTGTAAGTAAATAATGACATACATCCCAAGGAACAGAGGCAATGTTTGCCCTCAAACTACTACTAAAGGAAGAGGTTGTAAGTAAATAATGACATACATTCCAAGGAACAGAGGCAATGTTTGCCCTCAAACTACTACTAAAGGAAGAGGTTGTAAGTAAATAATGACATACATCCAAAGGAACAGAGGCAATGTTTGCCCTAAAACTACTGTAGCAAGGGGTCGTAGGTAAAGGCTTGTATGCATCCAAAGGAACAGAGGCAATGTTTGCCCTAAAACTACTGTAGCATGGGGTTGTAGGTAAAGGCTTGTATGCATCATAAGGAACTGAGGCAGTGTTTGCACAAAACTTCTTTAGGACGAGGTTGTAGTTGTAGGTTAAGGCCTGGATACATCCCAAGGAACAGAGGCAGTGCTTGCTAAAAAACTACTTCAGGAAGAGGTAGTAGGTAAAGGCTGGCATACATCTAAAAGAACACAGGAAGTGCATGCCCAAACACTACTTCAACAAGAATTTGTAGGTGAAGGCCGACATAAATCGTTTGTTGATTGAGCATAAGTTAGAGTTTATCACATACCCTGTCATTATCTTCTTGATAACACAATTTACCTAATCTTTTTATCCTTATTGTAGTCTTTTTATAAAGCAGACATGATATTGAAAGGGGTGTTACCTTGAATGACACACCTTGTTCCAATGATTTCTTAATGTAATGTGATGTTTTCCATCGTATTTACTACTTATATACAAGTGGAATGGATACCAAATACATTTGATTTGTTCTTTATATGTCACTTCCTCATTCATTGATTGTGGAAAACCTTACACAGTTCAAAATAATGTAAAATAACGATGCATTAAAATTGCTGGAAAATAATCACAGTCGAGCAATTCTCATCAAAGACTGTAAATTCTAACAAAAAGTTGAGTTAAGAACTTTTTTAAAGTTTATTGACATGCATGCATCACAATATATAATAACAACAGTAGTATTTTAATATAATAACAGTAACAACTAAAAAAATATGTGGAATGACATTAATGTAATGAGCCTAACTGATAAAGAATGATTTACCTCAAAAATCAATAACCCACAGCTAACTGTAGTACAAATAAACACCCCAAAAATAAATTAACAAAATATGATATTGTTATAAATATGTAACATGAATAATCAAAGCTCTGCCTAGTGCATGAATGCATGTATAATATATCACATTTGCACAATTTCATAGCCTCTAAAATATTAAATATTTTTTTATTTTTGGCTTATAAAGCACATTAAAATATGGAAAGGTTTTAAAATTCATAATTTTCATACTATATCCTTTAAATGTATACAGCGCCTGGGTAGACTATCATGATTTTAATTATATATGTAAATGACGGAATAAACATTCATGCTGCATAATGTTAAGAACTTTTCAAGATCTAAAATTATCCAGTAATTTTCAATAAAGTTATATTGTAAGTGAAAATAAATTTTCAAAATCAATCTCCTCATCAGCAAACTCTTAGATTCCTCCACAAAAATGTTTGTTCAATTCCTTAGATCTTGATTATCATCGTAGATATTTGTATCAGTACTATTCATACAAATCATAATTAAAATCTGGTCCTATTTTACAGGAGCAATTGCATGAAAGAGATCCTTTCTTTCAACAAAACACAAAAATCCATCCATAAAATACTCATCAATTATATTCATATTTACAGCCTACATGCCCAAAAAAATTGGAATCTGACCTTTTCGTACTGTAGAATATTGTGTAAACAAATTTAATAGTGTGACAGATAATGTGTTATATCATCTCCGTGAATGTTTGTGATAATAAAAGCTAGAAATATATACGCAAAATACCTAATTTATAACAATCTAATATTTTCAAATTGAATAGTATACTTATCTAATTTGGCAGTAAAATCACTATGTTTTTTGGACAGAGTAAAAAAAAATTCGTAAGGGTTCCGCGGAACCCAGTGTCTCGCCTACTTTTGCTGTTAATCGCAGGCTCAACAAAAATGAGGAAAAAAAATAATAACAATATTACTTTCGATACAATCTTTTGATTGTAAGAAGCTTCTGTCCCAATTTGGTAAAAACCCAGGATAGTTTATGAATCTAATAAATGTTTTAAATCTTTAACTGCAGACTGTATGTAATGTTAACTGGAAGAAAAACTAAGTCCATTTATAAGTAAAATACTGATAAACAGGTACAAAATTTTTAAAAATTTCCTTCAAGATACTAGCTTTTGATCATAAACAAGCTTCTAACCAAGTTTGGTACAAATCCAGGATAGTTTAAGAAAGTTATGAAAATTTTAAAAACTTTAACCACAGAGTGAATGTCATGTTAACTGGCAGAAAAACTAAGTCCATTTATAAGTTAAATACGGAAAAAATGGAATTTTGTTTTTTACAAATTTACTTCTGGATACTATCTTATGATCATAAACAAGCTTCTGTCCAAGTTTGGTAGAAATCCAGGATAGTTTAAGAAAGTTATTAAAATTTAAAAAACTTTAACCACAGAGTGAATGTCATGTTAACTAGCAGAAAAACTAAGTCCATTTATAAGTAAAATACGGAAAAAACAGGATTTTTTTTTTACAAAATTTAATTCTGGATACTATCTTATGATCATAAACAAGCTTCTGTCCAAGTTTGGTAGAAATCAAGGATAGTTTAAGAAAGTTATTAAAATTTTAAAAACTTTAACCACAGAGTGAATGTAATGTTTCCTGGCAGAAAAACTATGTCCATTTATAAGTAAAATACGGAAAAACTGGATTTTTTTTTTTACAAAATTTAATTCTGGATACTATCTTATGATCATAAACAAGCTTCTGTCCAAGTTTGGCAGAAATCCAGGATAGTTTAAGAAAGTTATTAAAATTTCAAAAACTTTAACCACAGAGTGAATATTTGTGGACGCTGCCGCCGACGGAATGTAGGATCGCTATGTCTCGCTTTTTCGACAAAAGTCGAAGGCTCGACAAAAAAGATTTACATATATAATATTGGCTTTTATAATAACTCCTTTCTAATTCTTACTTGAAAATAAGATGGAAATATAATTTGTTTTACTAATCTGACACACATAGCACTGCTCCTAATTGTACAGTAATATAGTAAAGTATACTTTTCTACCTAACTAGTGACAGTGTTTACATAAAATATAGGCATGCTAATACGAAAAACAAAAAGAGGCAGTTCTTGAAAAAGAACTATGAAATATTGCACAATATGAAAGTTTATTGATAACACACTGTAGATAACAACATAACTTTATAGAACTGAAGGACACATTGTAAATTATTCTTATGAAAGGTGTGTTTTCTATTGAATTTCAATAATAGAAATTCCCACTGTTACACTGTTTTATACAATTTAGATACAGTTATCCACAATAGTTTATGAAGTCATCAACATTGGAAAGGAATGCTTTGTGTAACCTTTCACAACTTTAGTTTCAGGTGGGACAGACATAAAAGGGACTTATTAAAATGGCAAAAAATTTGCAACCAGTTTGTTTGGAGGTTTACAACTTTTTGACTATTAATAAACATCTTATCATTATCACTGAACTAGTATATATATTTGTTTAGGGGCCAGCTGAAGGACGCCTCCGGGTGCGGGAATTTCTCGCTACATTGAAGACCTGTTGGTGACCTTCTGCTGTTGTCTGTTCTATGGTCGGGTTGTTGTCTCTTTGACACATTCCCCATTTCCATTCTCAATTTTATCATAGAATAAATTCTTTTCTTCATGTCTGTTGTACACTAGCTAAGGACCTTAAAATGTTTGTATGATATCCTCTTTAATCAAGCAGTAGTAATATATAAGTCAAAGAATATTGATGCGAAAAAAGATCAAACAAAAACATATTAAATAATTTTACTATGGTCATGTGTGTTGTTTCTTTTCTGAATTTTACTTCAAGAAATGAGGAAGAGCTGTCACAGCTCATGTGATAATGAATGAATGAAAATAGATGCATTAAAGTTAAGTATGTAAACATCTGACAGTTAATTTTTAGATTTTGCTCCTCAAGTAATTAAAACAATGTCTATTACCAATACAGTCAAGTTAAAATTCATCAACAAAGTAAATTAAAGATAATGACTTGAATGAAATGAAAGACAGGAACTGGTCAAGTGTTCTACTCAAAATGTTATACAAATGCACTGTCAGTCATTTATTGACCACTGACATGCAGTCATGACCATAAAGTGTTCCTATATATTTATTTCTGTCTCTGCAAAAATTGAAATACTTTTTTCAACTACTGTTTACCCCCTTAAATTTTATATCTACCTGGTACCACATTTACTATTTATACATATTTGGGTATCATGTAATTGTGTATTATGAAGTGCGTTATTGGACAGGTATAAACATTACTAGATTTCTATAGAATATTATGTAAATAAAATCATGATAATATAACAAAACTTTATAACATACAAAAATATATTACACAACACTCAACAAAAATAGATTTCTATTTTCAAATCTATAGTAATGTACCATTTAAACCCCTGGACTGGTCATTCTTTAAAGTTCATCATACATTTGGCATCAATAATGACATTATGAATATTTCTACCAATGTGTATATGAGAAAGAATAAAATCTACATCATGTCCACATAATAAACCATACATATTTATATAGAATTAACTGTTTTATAGGGATAACGATAATTCTCATGTCAAACACCAGGAAGCAAAAGATGTTCATAAATGCTTTACAAACTATTAACATGAAAAAGGCTTAATATCAATGATATGTCTATTCCACATGCCTGGTTAAAATCCATATTGAGATAAAAAGTCTTGTTCAATATAAATGTATTAATGCATTGGTGTAATACAAAATTATTCATTCTAGTCAAAATATTCTAGTTTGACCCTATATTTGACCCTTATATCAAGATAGGATGAAATAAAGAGTGACAGTAACATGTATCTATATTCAATGTTTTTTTTATTTTCAACCAAATCATCTATATAACTAATGAGTTTGGCTATTCAGGTCTTATTTGGTCATATGCTCCCCTTACACATTCAAGTATTCATACATCCTTGACTTTCAAAATTTTGAGTTAAGTATGCTTGAGGAGGATAAATCCAGAAAAGTGCTTCTGAATCACCAAATTTATAGTCTTATATCCATGAAGGAAAGCCACCTTTAAGATAATAACTGCATATTTGGTTAAAAAAAATAAAGGTCAAGTTTTGTCAGGATAAGTACTTTTACACATGAAATGTCTAATATCGATTTTTTAAATGTTGCAAGATGTCCTAAACAGCAAACTATTTATCTTATATGTGTTTGAGATTTTTTTTATATTTTGTGAGCCATAAGCAAAATAGATTAATGATCAGGTTACTATAGCACCAAAGCATGTAACATCACACACTGTCAGATAACTTATAGACAAAGTTATTCTGTATCAAAAGTAAAAGAATTAATCCAGTAATCAAAGCAAACAGCAGCCATATACAGTGCCTCCTACAACATTTCCTAATGACCAATCCAGGGACAGACAACCCCAGTCAGTTAACTAGTTCTATATGCTCCTCATCTGGTGACGGCTCACGTTTGTACTCGGGTCTGGTTACTATGTAGATCACCAATGCTATCAAGGTAACAATCACGATACCTAAACAATTCATTAGAATTCCCTCTGGTGGTTTGTGAGAATAGTCTCTGTAAAATAAAAACGTCATGTTATTATATTGTCATAGTATCAACACCTTATAAATTAAATGTTAATTGGGACTTTATGATTGTGTAAAAATAAACAATGATATCTATCTATCAACCAGACTTCTGCTTTCACTTTTAAACTGAATTCTGGAAAAACATAACTTATATATTAGTTGTAATTAGGCTCTGAACCACCTTGTGAGTACTCTACATTATATGTACTTTGTGTCTTCACTCTTTTTGAGATTTGCTGTTTTACTAAGTACCAATCTAATGTTATGATACTCCTTCTCTCTCGTTATTAAATTTGAGATTTTCAACATGCAATCTTTAGCTTAAGTTTAACCAAACATACTATAATTTTTGCGCCTGTCCCAAGTCTAGCCTTTGTTAGTCTTGTATTTTAATTTTAGTTTCTTGTGTACAATTTGGAGTTTAGTATGGCGTTCATTATCACTGAACTAGTATATATATTTGTTTAGGGGCCAGCTGAAGGACGCCTCCGGGCCCGGGAATTTCTCGCTGCATTGAAGACCTGTTGGTGACCTTCTGCTGTTGTCTGTTCTATGGTCGGGTTGTTGTCTCTTTGACACATTCCCCATTTCCATTCTCAATTTTATTTTTATACCATGTATACCAGGAGTATCAAACAACCACCACATCATTTTTCTTGTGAAGAATTTAAGAAGGTTCAGGAAGGGCAGAAACCCGTCAGGACATAACATAATCATGTGCTGGAAGCATTGTACAATGACAGATTACCTTTGCTCTATTAATCTATAATGATTTCACTAAAACTTACAAAACAGGTATTTTACTTCCATTTTCTGGAAATGTTTTCATCATGAAGAGAGCTTTTTCTGTTATTCCCATGAGTGCTGTGGCTCCAGCCATTGTTAGAATAGCAATACCCCAGAACACATGATGAGGCATGTACTGTTTCTTCAGACCCATACTTAGTCCAGGGAACAGGAAGGATGTTAGTCCACTTAACCACTGAAATAAAAACAATATTTATATATTATCCATTCACAAAACTAACTATTTTTAAATTGTAAAAATATTAAGCAACTGTGATATAAATAAATAAATGGTGATAGTCATCTTGTTAGATACAATGTATAAACATATTAGTATTAATCCTCTCATGCAGAAAATATAAACCAACAAAAAGGTCCATATTAATGGGTGTTATATATATGGTGGTGCAGTATGTAAAAACATGATGAAGTCATTTATCTAGTTTGACTGTTTAAATTAAATCAAAGCAGCTATTGGGGGAATGCAATAATATTTGCATATTAAAAAAACAATTGCAACAAATCTCTGGGGTTGTCTATGTTGTATTTTTGAAGAAATTGTTTCTGACCTAACCTATGTCCTTGTTTGTAAATGGCTAACATAATTATTTGCCCCTTAAGTCCACTTAAATCTCAAACCATATAAGATAAGATAATCTTTACTTCAGACTCAATAGTTTCATATATATATATATATATATATATATATATATACAAGGCACAAAATATCCTGTTTAAACAGGAGTCAATGTTAAAATATTTACAGAATTAATTATATATTATATCAACCAATGAACAGATTTCTTGCATTCATCCTGAATATGCATGAAATATTTGCAACTGGACATAAAATAATTATGTAACTACCAAATGTAAAAACAATACTTTTTGCACTACATGCAAAACTGGACGAGTAATTTGTAGCAACTACTTGCCTAATACATCTGATGTATTTTTTGTCAACCCATAGGACAGAATAGTTATTTTGTATTGGTTCTTGCTTTGTCATTGAATTTATACCTATTAAGGGAGAAGTATCGCTTAGTCATGTTACTGGATCTTTCATAATAATTGTTTTAGATGCCTTTCAGTGTATCATGTAGAATCTATGGATGTTCATATAAAATAAGGAACTTTTAAACTGCAACTATCTATGAGATATTCTATGGAAATTATTGAGTGAGCTTAGCCTTGTTTATTTTGACCCTATTTTCTATTTACAGTTTAGAAATGCAACATTGATATGTATGGTCAACGACAGATGGTTAAGAAAAATTCTGTTTGAGATTGCTTTATTTCTTAAATCATTCATAAAAATTGACTTATGGAAAGCTGAATCATTTAATAGTTTTATAAAATACTTATTTTATTTTACATACATGTATCATCATTGTATGATCAACACACAGAAATTTAAAGGATTGGTACAAAAATGTTATCTCAGAATTAGTTACATTTTGTACTAGTCAATATGGAAAAATTTTCTACCATTATTTTACTCATCTATTTTTTTTTTATTGCACTGGCAAGCTTAAATAAATTAAACATTCCAGAAGCAAAAAAAAAATACAGACAACATACACACTTGTTACTTTGTTCAACAAAAATTTAACATTTCAATATATTTCCTTTTGCCTGGATTCCAAACCATAAAACATTTTTAATGGTCCTTTACCTGGAGTCCAAACAACACAACAGTTATAATGCCCATCCAGCTATGGAGACTGTACATGTTTGGTATAGGATTTTTGGCCAGATTGTGAGAGTCAAATACTGCCTTTAGACCAACAGCAGAAAAAATCAGGGCCCCAAGATGTATCAGTCCATGAAGGATCTTGATATACAGCTTCTTCATATTACGGAACACTCTATAAGCAAGAATACCTGAAATTGAAAAATATTACTGACATTCAAAATTTACTTACTGAGCCTGTTTCCTACACAGTCACAAACAATGTCAATGAATGTTAAATCATGTTTTGCAGATTTTATAATATAATTAATAATCACCAACAACTTATACAATCTTTATTGTCAACATATACAGTAATATATACAATGTAAACATGTGACTGATAAAAAGCCACGATGAAAACGCACAGAAGCGTAGACAAAAAATTGAGAAGTGCCCTTTCCCAACCCTAAAAAGTGCCCTGCCCTCCACTGGCTCCATGCCCCTTTCAATTTCTAGCTGGAGCACTGCAATAACTTTCTTCATGTTGCAGAATACTGACGAAACATGAAAACCTCAGCCAGCTGCTGTCTACTATTATTCACTTTTCTTTGTAAAATTGTTATTCTTCATACAAGGGTTAATATTTTAATGTATCTAGAAACTTCATATACAAACGCATATTCATGCACCAACTTGCATATTTAAAAACAAACCAAGAAAGCCCATTTAAACTTATAATAAACACATCTAACCAAAACCATTTTTTCCTGACATTACTATTTTTTTTAAATCTTATTTCATGAATGTCATGAACATCTTTCTAGAAATATATAGATGTAGTACCAAAATATGGTTGTGGTTGGAGTATGGCAGTCTTAGTATCAATATCATTGTCAGATTTGGTATCAATATAGGTACTGGCTACGATTACCCGCAAAAAGTAACAATAAGAAATAATCATTGTTACTTTCGAGACTAATTGCCGAAATGTGTCTCCTGACAGGAACCCGATATCATACGGAAATTGCAGGTAACAATAATTTTGTTTTTTATTGTTACCTGAAGTTATTGTTACCCTCAAAATTTTCCATTTACAAATGATGTCTTTTCAATGTGCAGCATTGGGATACTTTGTACTGTCTTCTTGTCATTGTCCCGTATAAGTTGTTTTACATATTTGAAAAAATTGATATGACTTAATAGAAAATTATTTATTGAACAAAGTATTGATTAAATAAATGTGGATAGTGTCTACATGTGGACACAGATGATGCCCCCGCTTGCATATCATATAGTTATAAAGGGACATAACTGAAGAACGGTAAAAGTGACGCTACCCAAATTTGAATTTGATCTGAGTTTTGTGGTAATAAGCATTGTGTGTAAGTCTCATAACATTTGGTTGAGGCTAACTTTAGTAGAGAACAGAAACTAAAAATTCAGCAATTTTTCTATTTGTAAACACGCATAACTCTAGAACGGTTGTGTATAAGTTTTATAACATTTGGTTGAGACAAACTAAAGTTAGAGAACGGAAACGAAAAAATTCAGCAATTTTTATGTTTATAAAGGGACATCCCTCAAGAATGGTAAAAGTGTCGCCACCAAATTTTGTAATTAATCTGTATTAAGTAGTAATAAGCATTGTGTATAAGTTTCATAACATTTGGTTGAGGCAAACTAAAGTTAGAAAACGGAAACAAAAAATTTGTACTTGATTTTAGTTTTGTTGTAATGAATATTGTGTATAAGTTTCATAATGTTTGGTTGCGGCAAACTTAAGTTACAGAATGGAAACTAAAAATTTTGCAATCTTTCGATTTATAAAGGGCATAACTCAATAATGGTTAAAGTGACACTACCCAAATTCAACTTGATCTGTGTTTTATCAGTGGAAGTCAAAATTAAACATTGCATTGTATAAAGCATTGATTGTAGTTGATTCAATTATAATCATGGACAAAGGAAGATAACTCCAATTTTAAAAATTACTTGATATTTAGAAGAAAATAAAAATTTTGCAATTTTTCCATTTATAAAGGGGCATAACTCTAGAACAGTTAAAGTGACGCCACCAATATTGAATTTGATCTGTGTTTTGTGGTAATAAGCAGTGTGTATAAGTTTCATAACATTTGGTTGAGGCAAACTTAAGTTAGAGAATGGAAACTAAAAATTTTGCAATTTTTCCATTTATATAGGGGCATAACTCTAGAACGGTTAAAGTGACGCCGCCGAAATTCAAACTTGATCTGTGTTTTGTGATAATAAGCATTGTGTATAAGTTTCATAACATTTGGTTGAGGCAAACTCAAGTTAGAGAACAGAAACCAATTTTGGGACGTAGGATGTACGGACGGACAAGGGTAAAACTTAATGCCCCACCGCTACGGCGGGGGCATAAAAATAGCACATTTACAATAGTAAGCTATTTATTTTGGTGGTAATTCTTGCACATCCAGTATGTAGCCTAAGGTGGCATTTTCAGGCCAACACACTTCAGGAGGTACATAAATTTGTACCACTCCATACACCGGTCATAAACTATAGATCCATACGTCTATACCGTACACTAAGCAGTTCCATTCTAAATACACTAATCTCGAGGTTTTTTTTTTAATGAATGAGTTACACGGTTCGATCCGAGGTCAATCTGTGTAAATGAAATCATCAAACAATCAGTGCTTACTGTGATAGCATAAGCATAAGCATTGTGACATTGACAGAAGAGTCAATGAATTCAAAAGTCGTCTATAGTAAGTTATTTTAATCGACTCCGTTTGGCAAAAGTGAACATCATATAGGTCAATACATCTGGAAGTTTAACCATGTTAAAGTTTTTTTTACATCATAATTTTATTGTTTAAAGTTGTTTCACAAATTGCACGCAAATCAAACATTTTTTAGATCAGTGCCTATCTTCAAATATATTTTGCGCGTAACAATACTTGCAGGTAACAATAATATAATTTTAAATGAAATAAAATTATATTATTGTTACCTGCAATTTCTGTACGAATTTGGGTCTCTATCCAGAAATACATTTCTGCAATTAGTCTAGGAAGTAACAATAATTATTTCTTATTGTTACTTTTTGCAGGTTATCATAGCCATTGCCATCAATATAAAGGTTGTGATCGTAGTAGGACAAACTAAGTATCAATAGGATTGGCAGATTTGGTATCAATGAAGTTGTGATTGGAGTAGGGCAGACTTAGTATCAATAGGATTGGCAGATTTGGTATCAATGAGGTTGTGATTGGAGTAGGACAGACTTAGTATCAATAGGATTGACAGATTTGGTACATGTATCAATGAGGTTGTGATTGGAGTAGGACAGACTTAATATCAATAGGATTGGCAGATTTGGTATCAATGAGGTTGTGATTGGAGTAGGACAGACTTAGTATCAATAGGATTGGCAGATTTGGTGTCATTGAGGTTGTGATCGGAGTAGGACAAACTTAGTATCAATAGGATTGACAGATTTGGTGTCAGTGAGGTTGTGATTGGAGTAGGACAGACTTAGTATCAATAGGATTGACAGATTTGGTATCAATGAGGTTGTGATTGAAGTAGGACAGACTTAGTATCAATAGGATTGGCAGATTTGGTATCAATGAGGTTGTGATTGGAGTAGGACAGACTTAGTATCAATAGGATTGGCAGATTGGTATCAATATAAAGGTTGTGATCGGAGTAGGGCAGACTTTATATTAATAGGATTGGCAGATTTGGTATCAATTGGATTGGCAGATAAGGTTGTGATTGGAGTAGCACAGATTTTAAATTTCATTTGGTTTAACTAGAAGTCTTTAAAAACTGCTTTGAAACAGAAATAAAAGAAATACTATTCTGGAAGAAATTATGGATGTATAATGATATTAATTCTTACGTATTAAACAAAACACAAAAGAAAAACCAACTACAAAATGTATACTGCTGGTGCATTACAGCATATTGGTCTCATGTAAATTAACTTCATATACCAACATTAAAAAGTAAAGTAGCAAAATTTATTTACCCTAGGTTAGTGCTTCACTATTAATGGAGGAAATACATGAAACTGAACTGAACTATTAATATTTAATCTCTAACTGTTATTTAGACATCACATGTTCAGAAATATCAGCAACAACACAGTTTGGAACGGTTTTTAATTGTTGCAATCCCAATTAAATTTTTAGCGAGAACAGCAGTTTTGTTTTTGAATGAATAAAAAGTTGGTATTGCACTTGTAAAACATTTTGCTACTTAATTTTTAACTACATGTACATGTATGTACATTTGGTAGCTGTTTTTTGTTGTTGCACACTCTATAAAAGATACACTTACCATCACTATACAGAAAGATCATCCCAATCACCATGAACACTGGATGAAAATTAAATTCTTTTGCTGGATCACTCTGCCAAGCAAATCCACCCCTGAAGTGTCCCATCCACACAGCCACAATAATTACTGCTGATAGTCCTAAAATCTGTACAGCTAGAACCAGTGCAGTAAACCAGCACATTCTCCCTCCCTGTTCTGGTTCTTTGTCAAACCTCTCCATATTTGTTTATCTGAAGAACAAAAATGGACATGTTACTTCCCGTACATGTTTATGCATCATACATTTTGTACTTGAGGTATGAATGACCTTGATTACCAAGCACATATGATGTAAAGACAATGTCAGTCACAATCAGTGTACAGTTTATGTACCATATAAAAAAAAGAAGATGTAGTATGAGTGCCAATGAGACAACTCTCCATCCAACTATCAATGTGTAAAAAGTAAACAATTATAGGTTAAAGTATACGGCCTTCAACACGGAGCCTTGTATAGATTATTTTTTTCCTAAATTTATTGATCTACTTTTTCGTAATTCTATACAATTTTTAAATGAACAGCTACCACTCCTGTCTGCTTTTGGGAATGCTGTGAAGTGGTTTACTGCAATTGGTTTGAATGGCATTTCTTAGTTGTAAAACACACTCCTGGAGTCCTTTTTTCGGTTGATAAACATATTCAATTTTCCTTGCCTACCAATTATTCCACCTTTTCCATGATTTCCAGGACACAAATTAGTATATAACACCAAAAAATTTTACAAACTTGAAAGCAGTTACCCTGAACATGCTGAAGTCTGGTTATTTCATTCGTCCTATAAGTCTATTGATTTTGTTACCACAACTTTACATGAACTGACTTACGAGACAAAAAAATTACCACCCAGGATAGTACATATCAAATTTAAACTCATAACTGTGACCTTTATGACTTTCTGTAATGTAATTCTGTGTACTATTTTTACTATTGTATGCTATTTTGAGTAGTGTTTAAGAATCTCTAGGCCTAGCACCCTGTAACCTTACATGCCTAAATTAAACATCCTCATTAACATAATTTCAAACTCTCACCATATGTTCACATTTCCAGCTTTAAAATCAAACCAAAATATCACATTTTAAATTATTTTATACAATTTTTACGAAGGGATAACAAAAAAAACGTCATGCAGCAAGGGAAAAAATATGTACACAAAATCAAGGTACTTCACCACCATTCAGATATGTAACTGAACAGAATATTAAAAATATAATGTCTATGTATTTTTAAATCTGACATGAACGAATCGTTTTAAAATCAATTTTTAAACCTTAATAGAATGTTAATGCTTAGTAAATAAATCTTACAAATGCTCAACCGGCCGGTGGAAAATGATTACAAATATTCACCGAACTTCTGTGCCTAAACGTAAACAATCCATAAAGAGCAGGTGTCTCTAGATATACTCCGAACAGCAGATACAACTAAAGAATAACACTTCACAAAGACAATTGTTATAAATTTGTTCAAAAAAGGTTTTAAAAGAACATGTAGTCAGTTTTTAATCAAGAAATATAATTACAGAGTTTTAGTTTAAAACAGCTATAAGAAAACAGAAAACAGAAAATCACAATATTATCAAAGGCAAAAAATGGCGGGAGTGATATTTTCGAAAATCTCGGATAAGTACCTTTCCATTTGTAACTGATGTCTAGTCAAGTTTGGAAATATCCTGTTATTACATTAAATAGCAATAGTTTTATTCCATTGATTGGACGTAAGGAAAGATTATGCAATGATATAGATTTAATATTCAAAAACAAAATTATATACAATCAAACAACACAAAATGCTAAATATATATAAATAAGAAGATGTGGTATGAGTGCCTGAGTGAATGAGACAACTATCCATCCAACTTCTACTTCTACCTGTTAGTAACCACCGTCATCATGTTGACTATTCTGTCACTTTTGGGTGTGCGCAAAGATAATTTTGAATAAGTAACAAAAAAGGGTGCTATACAAATATTTAACTCGTGATTTAATTTGAAAAACAAGGGACTATTGATTTATTTGTTAGTCAGGAGCCTCTTGAAAGATTCAAGGCTGCTGGCAGATGTAACCAAGTCACAATGTGTAAAAAGTAAACAATTATAGGTTAAAGTACAGCCTTCAACACAGAGCCTTGGCTCACACCGAACATGTACAGCAAGCTATAAAGTGTAAAACAATTCAAACAGGAAAACCAACCATTCGACAACGGTCTAATCTATATAAAAATATACCTATTTTTGGATGGGTCAGTACCTGTACCACACAGACACTTTGACCTACGACAAGAATTTAATAGTTGTCAACAATATATATAAAAATTGAACAAATCAGTAAATTAATACTGTGAATGTGTAGCTAAAAATTGGTTTGATTTAGTCAATGTATTGTTAATTTTTAACTGTGTAGCTGTATGACACCACAGATAAACATACAAATCACTAACCCCTTTTGGGGTAAAAGGCACCAGTGGGACGTGAGGTAGTTTGCAAAAAATTTCCTGAATAGTCAGAGTAAATAGGGTTTGATAAGGAATTCTGAGGGCGGCTAAATCAGAAAATATGCTCCGTAAACAGAATCCCAAAAGGGTTAATAAATCACATACCAGTTCTGCCAACTTTTAATAATGCAAATGCGTGAGATTTGGCCAAAATTGTAAAGATCAAAGAGAAAAAACAATAGATCAAAGGAAAATGCCGCCAAATAAGCATGAAAATGCGTGAGTCTCATGCTTAATGCGTGAGACTTGGCAGCCCTGACATTCTTGTAAGATAAAACATTGAACATGTAGTATCATTAACAATAGTTGTTTAAACTAGAAGAATATAATTTATAGTTGTCTTAATTTATAGTGACCTTTAAGTCAGACATGCAAATTTGTGCTTCAATGCAGAAAATAGCATTACATTTTGAGTAATGATTCATTTCAGTGGGAACCTACAAGATAAAAGGAAGAGATTTGATTCAAAGATGTTTACAAGTTGCTTTGGTATCTGGTTATAGGTCCTTTGGTATGATATATATGTGTACTTTTGTTAATACAAAGGTGATGTGCAGTTTATGTTAATGAGATGACAAATTTCGGCCATGAAAAAGAATATGTTTGTTTGCCCTAACCCTACCTACCCAGAAAATAGCTACCTACTCAAAATGTTTTATTGTCCTGATGTGAAAAAGTTTTTTTTTAATCAGATAGGCATGCATGAAGACTAAAAAAACATCTGACACTTCAATTTCTATTTGCTGAAAAAGAGAAAAATGCCCACCTACTTACCCACTATCTCTGACTTTAGGTAGGGTTTGGGCAAACAAAAATAATGTTAAGTGTGGCATAACAACAAAAAAACAAAACACAAAAGACATCTATACAGCAACATATGAGAACAAACTTCACAAAACACAAAAGACATCTATACGACAACATACGAGTACAAACTTCACAAAACACAAAAGATATCTATACATCAACATACGAGTACAAACTTCACAAAACACAAAAGACATCTATACGTCAACATATGAGTACAAACTTCACAAAACACAAAAGACATCTATACAACATCTATACGTCAACATATGAGTACAAACTTCACAAATCACAAAAGACATCTATACGTCAACATACGAGTACAAACTTCACAAAACACAAAAGACATCTATACGTCAACATTTGATTAAACAAACTTCACAAAAGACATCTATACGTCAGCATATGAGTACAACTCCCAAAACACAAAAGACATCTATACGTCAACATATGAGTACAAACTTCACAAAACACAAAAGACATCTATACGTCAACATATGATTAAACAAACTTCACAAAACACAAAAGACATCTAAATGTCAACATATGAGTACAAACTTCACAAAACACAAAAGACATCTATACAACATCTATACGTCAACATATGAGTACAAACTTCACAAAACACAAAAGACATCTATACAACATCTATACTTCAACATATGATAACAAACTTCACAAAACTCAAAAGACATCTGTACAACATCTATACGTCAACATAGGAGTACAAACTTCACAAAACACAAAAGACACCTATACGTCAACATATGAGTACAAACTTCACAAAACACAAAAGACATCTATACATCAACATATGAGTACAAACTTCACAAAACACAAAAGACATCTATACGTCAACATACGAGTACAAACTTCACAAAACACAAAAGACATCTATACCTCAACATATGATTAAACAAACTTCACAAAACATAAAAGACATCTATACGTCAACATATGAGTACAAACCACAAAAAATAAAAGACATCTATATGTCAACATATGAGTACAAACTTCACAAAACACAAAAGACATCTATAAATCAACATACGAGTACAAATTTCACAAAACACAAAAGACATCTATACATCAACATATGAGTACAAACTTCACAAAACACAAAAGATATCTATACAACATCTATACGTCAACATATGAGTACAAACTTCACAAAACACAAAAGACATCTATACAACATATATACGTCAACATACGAGTACAAACTTCACAAAACACAAAAGACATCTATACGTCAACATATGAGTACAAACTTCACAAAACACAAAAGACATCTGTACGTCAACATATGATTAAACAAACTTCACAAAACACAAAAGACATCTATACCTCAACATATGAGAACAAACTTCACAAAACACAAAAGACATCTATACCTCAACATAGGAGTACAAACGTTACAAAACACAAAAGACATCTATACGTCAACATATGAGTACAAACTTCACAAAACACAAAAGACATCTATACGTCAACATATGAATACAAACTTCACAAAACACAAAAGACATCTATACAACATCTATACATCAACATACGAGTACAAACTTCACAAAACACAAAAGACATCTATACGTCAACATATGATTAAACAAACTTCACAAAACACAAAAGACATCTATACAACATGTATACATCAACAAACGAGTACAAACTTCACAAAACACAAAAAGACATCTAAACGTCAACATACGAGTACAAACTTCACAATACACAAAAGACATCTATATGTCAACATATGAGTACAAACTTCACAAAACACAAAAGACATCTATACCTCAACATATGATTAAACAAACTTCACAATACACTAAAGACATCTATATGTCAACATATGAGTACAAACTTCACAAAAAACAAAAAAAGACATCTATATGTCAACATATGAGTACAAACTTCACAAAACACAAAAGACATCTATACCTCAACATAGGAGTACAAACGTTACAAAACACAAAAGACATCTATACGTCAACATATGAGTACAAACTTCACAAAACACAAAAGACATCTATACGTCAACATATGAATACAAACTTCACAAAACACAAAAGACATCTATACAACATCTATACATCAACATACGAGTACAAACTTCACAAAACACAAAAGACATCTATACGTCAACATATGATTACAAACTTCACAAAACACAAAAAGACATCTAAACGTCAACATACGAGTACAAACTTCACAATACACAAAAGACATCTATACGTCAACATATGAGTACAAACTTCACAAAACACAAAAGACATCTATACCTCAACATATGATTAAACAAACTTCACAAAACACTAAAGACATCTATATGTCAACATATGAGTACAAACTTCACAAAAAATAAAAGACATCTATATGTCAACATATGAGTACAAACTTCACAAAACACAAAAGACATCTATAAATCAACATAAGAGTACAAACTTTACAAAACACAAAAGACATCTATACGTCAACATACGAGTACAAACTTCACAAAACACAAAAGATATCTATACAACATCTATACGTCAACATATGAGTACAAACTTCACAAAACACAAAAGACATCTATACAACATATATACGTCAACATACGAGTACAAACTTCACAAAACACAAAAGACATCTATACGTCAACAAATGATTAAACAAACTTCACAAAACACAAAAGACATCTATACGTCAACATATGATTAAACAAACTTCACAAAACACAAAAGACATCTATACCTCAACATATGAGTACAAACTTCACAAAACACAAAAGACATCTATACATCAAAATATGAGTACAAACTTCACAAAACACAAAAGACATCTATACCTCAACATATGATTAAACAAACTTCACAAAACACTAAAGACATCTCTATATGTCAACATATGAGTACAAGTTTCACAAAAAATAAAAGACATCTTTATGTCAACATATGAGTACAGACTTCACAAAACACAAAAAACATCTATAAATCAACATACGAGTACAAACTTTACAAAACACAAAAGACATCTATACGTCAACATACGAGTACAAACTTCACAAAACACAAAAGATATCTATACAACATCTATACGTCAACATATGAGTACAAACTT